TTTTTGTCCACCGAGTGGCTGGGTTCTCGTGTCAATCATGAATAATTCAACGGCGCCTTGCCTCTTGCCGCACCCCGGTCATATCCGGCAGATAATCTTGCACTGCCAAAGTGCGCCACGTTTGATGTATCGCTGATTTGAGCTATCGGGGATAGCGTCTACTTGCCTGGCGGTGATTGGGGCCGCCAAAGTCGGCCGAAGGAGGGAGGGAGGCTTTGCATCCCAGCTGGTCGTAGCAGAGACGGCCAACTTGAATCTAGATATTAGCAGAGCTTGGCCCAGCCAGGCGGTATGAATTGACCGGTATCCGTCACTCTTCGTAGCCAAGCGTAACGGCGTCTGGAAAGGGCATGTCGACCGCCGCGTGGGGACAGAGGCAACATCATGTTAACTCTACCGCCACGCGGCTTCAATTCATTAAGGCTCCTGGCAAACTATGAATAGTGCCATATTAGCTGCTGCTCCGTGTTAGTTGTAATTGTCGTAAACCATAAATAGTCGTGGAGCAGAGTAATGAGCGAGAGCCTGTCCATCCACCACTAATTAGCGCAAACGTCGCCAGAAGGCGATACCCCGCTATAAGACAGCTGGCTGTGGAGTGAAGTTTGGAATTAGAAAAAAAAAGAAAAAAAAAAGAAAAAAAGTAAAAGCAAAAAGTTCACTCGACCTGAGCGCCCGCTGCAGCCCGACACGATGGGGAATGTTACAAAGGCTTATTAAGCGCCCTGTCGCTGGGCGGAGCTTTCGTGTCCGGTTTGCTTAGTGACCACGGCGATTCGTTCAAACGATGCTGTCCCGGCCTCTTGGCTGGCGAATTACTGTTCGCCTTATGGCACCGATATTCTAGTCTAGTTAATAATAGCGCTTCGTTTGTCCACGCGGGCAAGGCTAGACTGGCAATGGCAAGTGGTAGCTTTGGCGGGTTGTCGGGCATGTCGGGCAACTTTTTAGACGAGCCATCAATGCGTCTCTGGTCCTGCGCGACCTCTGAACTAGTACTTTTGGCCGGTCAAGGGTGTGCTGGTTGGAAAAAAAAAATATAAGAAAAAAGGGTCTTAGACATTGGCCAGTGAGAGCGATGCTTGATATTTTTTTTTGGTTCCATCTGTGACTTGCCGAGGGGAATTGTTATAACCACGTGTTGCCTGAAGACGTACTACTGAGGCCGGGATGGAAAGCGCCCCAACAAAGTCGACGTGTCTCGATGTGTTTCCTGCGCCAAAAGTCTCGGGACAAAGACAAACAGAGCGGAAGGTGGAGTCAAGCATCTAGCTCAAGATCAATATACTTTGTCGAGCCACTGCTTCCACTTGCGGCCCAATTTCTGCACCGGAGTATATGCCTACGAACCTGTCCATTGGTGATAGTGCTGTCCGCCAAAACAAAGAGGCATGGAAGCACGAGCCTGGGAGGTAGGAAGCTATGGCCTGAGTTGCGTCTGTTTCACTTAACGAAGGCATTACTTGCCATGTATCAACTAAATAGCAAATGGCGCGACAATTGCGCCGTCTGTGCTCCCTGGACAGATTGTTGTACAAACTTGCTGAATGACAAGCGAGCCGCCGCATGACGGCGCCTCCAGCGCGCTGGGTTCAGCAGATGCAAGGCTGGTCGTTGGGGTTGTGTGGAGAGGATGTGGTAGGGGGTAATAGCGGAGGCGTCTTTTTGCATGGGTGTGATGCTTGCTCGTTCACTGACCACTGCTGCGGCTTCGGTTTCCCGGATCAATCAACCTGCCGTCTTTGTTTCCCTTCGCAGGTGAGCTTGCCGCGAGTACCCCATCGGCGCATGGCGGGGACAATGCCGCATGCATATGGACTCGTTACTTGGACACCCTCGCCCCGGGGTCATAAAGTAGGCGAAGCAGCCTCGGAGACATCAAGAAATGGCTGGCGGCTTGAGATGAGCTTTTCTGAAACGTGAAAGTTTGGCCTAGCTAAAGGCAGGTCCGAGGAGCGCCTCGCTCTCACATGACATTGCAAGCGTTTCCAGTCGGGTCTGTCGAGACTCGAGCGTTATGAGCAAGCAGGTAGTTCAAGTACGGAGTCGTCGAGGTGAAATCCTGGCGGAGCGCGTCTCCCAGCAGAAGAGTCATTTTGAAGCTGAGGAGAGTATCCGTATGCTGCGGGCCTGGTACCCTTGTCCCACTCTGGCTGCAACCCAGTATTTGGAAGAGCTAGAGGGCGGACTCTCTCAGTCAGGGCCAAGGTGCTGGAGCGGGTTCGTGAGGGGTACGAGGTAGACAAAGGCTGTGGAGGGTGTTAACGCCGCGTTTAGCGCAACCAGCTTTCGTATCGTTGACAGCGCCTGTGTGAAGTGCACGTACAGTACAAGGTGTGCGAGGGTCCACGGTGTGAGACGTGTGCGAGAAGGCGCCGTGTGGCCCAGAAGGGAGCAAGGTTGACGATTGGCAGCCACACAGGGGAGTCGTCGAAACGTTGAGACATGGCACCTGCAGCCTCTAGGCAGCTAGGCACGCTAGGGTCGGCAAGCTGAGTGGTGTGAGTGGTGTGGGCAGTGGCTTGGAGCAAGACCCTCGCCAGATGGTCACGCAGCATTACTGGTACAGTGATCATTGATCATTGGCACTGGCGCATAGAAGGCTTCTGAGCAGGGACTAGAAGCCTTGGTTGCGGATCGCTCTATTTATGCCGAGAACAAATCGTTTTGGCAGCAGTTGCGTGTGGTTACATTGCTTCGTGAGTGCCGTGCTGATTTTTCTCAGTGGATGCAAGCCAAGGAGACGGGACAGTCAGAATCTGTCGCCATCGCCGGCACCGCACGTATGTACCTTGCGAGCGTGCTGCACCCGCTTCGCAGATGATGAGTAGCCCCGGCGGGCTACTTTGGCCACACTGGGCACGAGAGGCGTGACAGCATGGTAAATAGTTACAAGCAGGACCCAGAAGCGTTGAGGTTGCTGCGGCAGAAGGCCAAGACAATATTTAGGTCATGGGCGGCTGTGCCGAAGGCGGGACGCCTGCTGTGGTATCAGTGCGGCACACGAGACGCGGCCTGCTGGCGGGCGGTCAAAGGCAATATGGCAGCTTGACAGCGATGGACCGACCATGTGTCTGAATGACGATGGTTGACGAGAGGCGCTGCGCACTCCAAGGAAGGTGACAGACGACGGACGACGCGTGATGTTCCTAGTAGGTTGGTACGGTACCCAGACAGCCAGTGTTAGCCGAACTGCGATTTCATGTGCACCAGTAGCGGCGTCTCAATCGGGCAATGTACGCGGTCGCGAGTTTCTGAGAGACGCTCCACTAGACGCACGCGCACGGAGACGGGGACATTTTGGTGTGGTCTGGCACTTCTGGGTATTTGGGGGGCAAGTGGCCGAGTGATCAAATGAGCGGCGTGCTGGATCATGAAAAGAGGCGCATGTGCTTGTCATTTTCGCTGGCGGCCGACGACAAGACGAAGGCGGGGCGGAGGAGTGGGTAGACGGTGGAGAGGAGATGAGTACGAATAACTAGACGAGGCGACAGACGACAATCCGAACCAAGGCCTTGTATATTGGTATTGATAACGGCGTCTGCCGCGAGGCGTTGACAGAAGCGTCTTTGGTCGTTGTGTTGCTCGAGGAAGTACCAAGTCGTAGTGGTAATGGAAAACTCACGAAGTGGACGAGTGAGCAAACGAGGCTGTCACAAACGCCTGTTTGACGGGCGCAGGCAGCGAGTCCCGATTCAGCGCGACTAACAATGAATGACGCTTACACTGGCATTAAATTACCGTGGATGGTGAGGGCTGTTAGAATGGAAAGTACGGATTACCTAGGCACTAACTAACGATATACAATAAATACCTAACTTGTGCTGCTTGTGAAGGAAGCGCAGACGGAGCGCAAAACAAGTGGCGGCCAGGCTGGCGAGGACCAGGACCCGCTAAACGAGAATTCAAGCGGGCGGGCCGGACGGTGGCGGCTGCCATCGCCCTATTGAACTTCGCGAGGCGAGGTAAGGTAGGTCCAGCCTAGCGTGCCAGTGCCGACCTATTTACCAGGTAGACATGCAGATGACACCAATGCAAAGAGATGGCTTATTAGAGATAGATAGATGGCAGAGAAAAAAGAGACGGCACAAAAAAAAAGAAAAAAAGAAAAAGGCACTTCATGACATCCCGTTTGGGTAGAGAATGGACAGAAGACCAAATAGCTGCTTCCCTGTCAGTGCTTAGCCTCGCAATACCCCAGCCATCTCCCATCTTGTCCCAATTATTACTAATTCACGTACAAACTCTTCCCCTCATCTGCTCTCCTTACGCCCGCCGAAGGCCTCCTTCATCGTCGTCGTCCTCTTCCAACGACACTCTAATAATCCTCGACAATCATCAGCGGGCCCGCCTAGGTATTCATACATCCTAGCCCAGCCATTACAAGCCACGCCTGACTGCCGCTTTCTTATTGGCCCCAACCTGCGCGCTCGCATGCCGCCCACTCACACTTGTTCGCACACGCTCTAAATACACTGTCGCACCCGCGCGCGCACACGCTAAATACTGCGGGTGTGGGCTTGCTCATTTGGCCTCATCAACTCCTAGACTCCTAGTCCTTGACTCTTGTCGAACGCGACGCCCACCCCCCCCAAACCCCCGAACCACTCCGCCTGATCCCAGACGAGCAGCTCGTGGGAGTCTGTCAAAGTCTGCCAGACCATAGACGACAGCCGTGGTAGCACCAGGAGTGTTCAGTAGTACCGTAGCCACCGCGCTCCATATTCGTAGTTAGGAAGCAAGTCGACGCTGCCCGCATACACCCGCGCGAGGGGAGCACGGCCGACGAGATGGCATAGCCTGGCGAGGAGAGAGGCTGTCAGGAAAAGTGAGGGGTAGGTGGGCGTCTGCCGAGCGTTGCGTCTCGGCGGCGATAAGTGATGCCAATATCACTCCCCATCGCTCACTGGCTCAGTCGACTCGATAGACCGACGACCGATGACCGACCACTCCCTACGAGTCTACGACTAGCTCAGAGTCTCCAGACACACACGCCGCCTCGGGCTCCGCGTTCCGCTGCCCGGGCTCATTTGTTGTCCAACCCTGTCGCCAATACCAATGCCAATACCTGAGCTCGCCGCTCGACGCTCGTTACGCTGACGCCCGCCAGCCCAGCACGCCTGTACGGAGCACACACACGGGCTTGCTGCTAGCCTCAGTCCGCCAGTAGTCTCAAGCGCCTGGCCGTCTCGCACACGCCCCCTCCCTCACCACTTCTGTTACTAGCCTCTCTGCCCGTAGGTGGGTTGCGAGTGGACTGGACTGTGCAGTGCCGCATAGCGCCGTCTCTCCGACTTCAGCACCAGCCAAGTTGCCAGCAGGCGCCCCTCACACCCCCGGAGAAGCGCTCCTCGGACCTCTCTTTGCTTGTCTGCTAACCCTCAGGACCCCCTGGCCTCTCTTTCTGGGCCTGTCGCTCTGACTGGCAAGCTGGCACGCTGCCTACGAATACTGCGGCACTTTGGTAGTTACCAGCCTCGACGCAGGACCGACAACGGGCGTGATTGTACCGAGTACTTAATTCAGTACGGTCTACCCTGCTTGTGAGTTTGTACCTATTACCCGCTCTGGCTCGTACCCTTGCAGCCACGCATCCACGCTCTTGTGCTCCGCGGTGCCGCCAAATCTTTCTCGAACCATTGCCGCCTACATACTTACTCAAAACGACCGCATCTCCCCCCCCAGCCCAACTCTCTCGCATCTTCACCTCCACCTTCATCCTCACACCCACGATTGTTGGCTTCCCAGGCATCACACCTCCTCCTCTCAGGCTTCAATCGCATCTTTCGACCAACCCACCAGCCCACTGCACCAGTGCTTTCATTTTCTGCACTGCTCTTGCCTGGCTAGCTTTTAGGTTTAAACACATCCACCAGACGCCCTTCTGCCGCCCGCCACAGCTATCATCTTGGAGGCGCCCTTTCTCCTCACCCGCCATAGTCGCGCGCCAACCTCACACAATTCAATAGTTTCATCAGTGTTACCGGCCGTTTGCCCAGCGCCACAAGCCTTATTTAATAGCTGCCGTCCACTTCCAGCAGCTATTCTTCTTCGTCTGTCCTCCCGCGTCTCGTAACGCTCTCTCTGGACTACCCAGACCCTAGCATCGCGTTTCCGATCAATCACCTATTCGCCTCAACCACTTCCTCATCAGTCGGCTGGCCCGGCAGTAGCAACATTGTCTGGTACCTCGACTTGACAAATTTTGCATCTCTTTGCTCAGAGTGTAAAGAACTTTCACGACACCCATCTCACTCGACGTCAGTCTCACTCAGCAGCAGCCAGCTCACTCAAGGGCAGCTGGCCTACGCCAACTCTATCTCAGCCTAACCCGCAAGTCAACTCACAATGTCTGGTTTTACTGCACTCAACGGAACCTCGCCAAAGGTAGCAACTAAACCTGTTGCTACCGTCTCGAGCCTCGATGCTCCAAACGGCACCACCGACGAGCAAACCGATCTACCAAGTCCGGAGCCAGTGGCAGCTGTCGAAGCTTCTCCAGCTCCAGCCTCGGCGCCGCCACAAGCACCAACACCTGTTGAGGCTCCTGTTCCCGATACTGCTCAGGCCTCTCCCGAATTACCTTTCCCCATTGTTGACGCGGGTTCTCCGACATTTACGCCTGCGCAGGCTCCCGCCGCTCAATCACCAAATCAGCGCGAGAGCTGGCCCACCCAAGGCCTGGAACGTGCGCCTCCTGCGTCTGCATCCAATGAAAATGACTCTTCTAGTAAGCGCAAGCGGTCCAGTTCGAGTGAGGGCCGTACGCAGCTCCCTACTCAACCCACGAAGCGGAAGGCCACCGAGCGCACGCAAGAGCGCACTCCCGAGACTGGGACCGTCGTTTCGCAACAGCAGCCAAATGGCGACCACCAAACCGAATCTCAGCACGCAGAGGCACATGCAGAGGCATCTCAATATCAGACCACTCCATCTGTCCCCATTCATGTGCCCGCCGACCGTCAGCATGCCGGACAAGTCGAATACAGCCCTGTTACGCCCCAGAGCAGCAGCCAGGCTGTCGTTCAATACCAGACCCCGACCTACTCGGAACCACGCTCCGGTGGTGTTGTACAGCATGACCCTAAGAAGCGCAAGCGAAACTTTAGCAACCGCACCAAGACTGGTTGCCTGACCTGCCGCAGAAGGAAGAAGAAGTGTGACGAGGCCAAGCCTGAATGTAAGCCAGATAAGCCCCTTCATCAACTAGCTGGAGTCGCGTTGACACACAATAGGCAATAATTGTATCAAGGGGGCTTTTGTTTGCGCCGGGTATCCTCCCCAGCGTGGCGCAGGATGGCCCAAAATGATCGAAAACAAGCCAGGAGGCGTACCGCTCGAATCCAAGGACCCTAACTATGTGCCACCTGGTGCCTATGGTATGCCTGCTTCGCCCTACACGTCTTCGCAAGCCGCCAATAACGGCCAATCAGCCGGCCCCAAGCGCGAACCTCTACCTCAGTACCGTGGCCACAATCTTCGTGTCGAGACATCAAAGAACTCGGATGGCCCGTCTGCCAGCCCCGACCAGAAGCTTCCGCCGGGCCCCTACACACCCGCAACCAACGCATATCCCACTCCGGTATCAGCCAACAATCAGCCGCCCGCTTTTGGTGATCGCACCGCTAACGACTACCAGCGACACCACGACACTCTCGCACCCCCTGTATCAAGCGCTCAAATCGCGGCTCAGATGGCTCTCTCTCACCCTCAGGCACAACCTCACAACATGACCGTTGCATCTTACGACCAAAGGCGTCCAAGTCAGAAGGAGGAAATGCTCCAAGGAGGTTACTTCTATCAGTTTGACTCGGAACTGATCCTGGAGCGAGATCGCGCGGCCACGGCCTGCTGGCGTTTTAATTCGCTGACGTACCCTCCTACCAACGGTGTGTCTACCGAGGAGCGTGCTCGTCTATTTCTTGAGATTGTGCAGCCGCGTGATTCACCTTCCTTTTCCGCTGAAGAAGCTTCTAGTCGCAGCAATGCTGGTCGTGTTGGACGTCATGTTGCTGTCGAGTCTCCTTTCCATTGCGATTATGGCTATAACATCAGCATCGGTAGCCACGTTTACATCGGGAAAGGCTGCACCATGAATGACGCGGGCAAAATACAGATTGGCGACAACTGCATCATTGGACCTAATGTCAGCATGTACACCGTTGAATTATCTACAGATCCCAAGCATCGTCAGGGTGGTCATGGAGCCCAATTGAGCAAAGCCATCATGATCGACTCGGACTGCTGGATCGGTGGTGGTGTCATAATTATGCCCGGCAAAGTCATTGGAAAGGGCTCTACCATTGGCGCTGGCTCGGTTGTCACCAAGGTATGTCTCAGAACTTGACACTGGCTTGTTGTTTGATTCTTGGTACTAACTCTCCCCTTCTCAGGACGTGCCTCCATTTACTGTTGTTGCCGGTAACCCCGCCCGTGTTTTACGGGGTGTTGCTTCCATGTAAGCAGGCTTTTTGCATGCCGTATGCTGTTCCCCCGGCGCTCTCTCTATTCTCGTTTGCCCTGGTCGAGGGCTCGTTGTCCTTTCATTTACTCCTTTTCTGTATCTTCTCTTCTTGTTCCCGGATATCCTTTATTTCTTTTTTCCTGCAGCGGCTGGAGAGAACAATACTTGTTCGAGAAGGAATTAACAGTACACTTGTTTGGAGGATGGTGAGTGTATATACTTGTTTGACGGGGTCATTGTCAAGTTTTTGTTTTACCTGTATTTATCCTGGTGAGAATGAGTAAAACTTGAACTTATTACTTATTTGTAATTGGAAGCCAATAAAATTTTTCCGCAGAGATAATACGTACGTGACTCTCTGTTTGTCATGGATTAGGTCAGTAGAAGAAGAAAGAAAACGCTTTCCAGATGGCGTTTTGATGGCACTTGTAGAAGCAGGTGATGGACGCGGTCAAAACGTGCGTACTATTCACCTTGTAAGAAGATGATCGGACTTCTCTGTGTGGCCACCTGCGACTTCGTTTCGCCTAATTTATGTTGAAAACTTCCTGCCAGCATTCTACACGCAGCAGTGGGTAACTTTGGCTTACACAAGAACGGGCTCGACAAAACGTCTTGAGACTTTAACGAACCAAAGCAACCAGCCATATTCACAATACTCGATAAACGCCTCGGGAACTACAATATGACATACTCGAGAAGAAAACAAACAAAACGCTGATCTGTGGAAGAAGAAGAAGATTAAGCAAAAGCGAGTCACAAGCATCACGGATGTAAAAAAGTGAAAACACCCATGTATAGTTAGATGGTATCATACGCCTTGCAATATATCAAACCAACCCTCTTCGTTGTTGTTATTTTGTACACGTAGAAATTGATCAATCGAGTCCTGAAAAAGACCAGCGAGGGGCCGTTTATGGGTGTGAGAAGGGCTAAGGGGGGGGGGGGGGGACTACCCAGTTGACGCCTTCTGTGCTGTACAGGAGCGTGTCCAGGTCGGATACCGGGCCGAAGTCGGGCGCGAAACACTGCGCGTCGGGCGCGGCCATGGCCATGTATCCACCCGCGCCGAGATCATTATACATGTCTTGCGAGGTGGCAGGGGCGGCAGCGACGTCGTGGTGATAGTGGTGCGGGTGGAGTAAACGGCAAGGCGTGGGAGGCTGCATCGGCGGCTGGCGCCCCTGCTGCTGAAGGGAAAGCGGCTGTGGCTGGATGGCGCAGCAGTTGACCAGGACCATTGAGCCCTCCGTCTGCGCAGGACAAACACACGGCGGTGGCGGCGGCCGTGGCGGCGGAACGTACATGTCCATTTTCATGGCGGCGAGTCCAGATCTGTGGCCGGGTACACGCCGGCAGAAGACGACGACACGCGCGTCACGGTGCCGGTATCGTCGCAGACTGGCGCGCCGCCGTCGACCCTCTTGAGGACGGCGCGCAGAATCTTGGTGGCGTGCCGCGCGTCGGACGAGTAGGCGCGGCGGCCGGCCCAGACGTCGTGGGAGCGCTTCAAGAGCGCCTGGCAGCGGCGGCGCTCGGCAGGCGGCATGTCGCGCGACTCACTCAGGTCGACGCAGACGACGGTGGAGGCGAGCAGAAAATGCTGGAGCGTCAGATTGGAGACCCATGAAGCGGTCCTCGTGCATGCGGCCGGCGGCGCTAATCTCGTGGTCGAGCTCGAGGTGCATCTCGAGCATGGCGAGGGCGGCGGCGCGGCACGTCTGCTGGGAGCAGTCGTAAGGCCCGGTCGTCCTTGCGCTCGGTCAGGTAGGGGCGGTGCAGCACGCAGAGGCACCTGCGGTATACATGAGCTCGAGCATGATGCGGTGCATGATGGTTGTAGTTTGTGTCGGTGAAGGCGGTGCTGCGGATGGACCCGGATGCGCAGGCGGCCGGGCTGCGCGTCGTGCCACGCCCGCAGCTGGTCGCTGAGTCGCAGCGTCTCTTGGTAGGGCGGCCGCCGCACGGCGAGCGCGTGCAGCATGACGCGTCGCAGGATGACGGACAGCTTCGACTTGGCAATGTAGGCGAGGATGGGCGTCGGGCCTGTGACGGATGCCGCCTATCGCACCGTGACTTGCGGCGCTGGCAGGCCATGCACGAGACGGGCTGTCGGTTGCGCTGCACTCTGTCGGGCTTGCCGGCGCGGAAGACGCTCGTGAACTGGGCTATGTCGGGGTCCGGCATGGTGGGCGCAAGGTTTCGTTCGTTTTGGGGGCGCCGGGCGGACAGGCGAGCTCGCTGTTATAGCGATTTGAAGGCGATGGCAATAAACGCCGACGCCGACGCTTTTGCTGGTCTTTTATGCCAACAACCTCGCACAGCCTCGCTGAATGTATGAGCGCACTTGCAATAGATATGTGGACATAACTAGCCTGCTCCCACTTTTGCAAGCCACGAATTATATGTCTGTGATAGAGAGCAGAGTCGAAGAGCCGAAGACAACCATACTTGTAATACGGACCGGCGCGGGGCAGCTCGGCGAATGCGACGAGAGCCGCGCAAGCTGCTCCGAGGGACGCGTACAGCAATCAGCACAGACTCGTCTCTTCTTTCGCAGGAGTCTTTATAAACTCTAGAAATTGGATCAGACCTTGTATCTACCGATGAAGGAGAAAGAATCGTCAGCTTACTGGTTGCGATTAGCGGGCAGAGCTGGACCACTGGCTGCCTCTTAGCTACTATCAGCTAGTGACAGGTAAGGCAGTGGCCGCCGCTCACTCACGAGATTTTCTGACTCTGAAAGGAGTGATTTCCTTTTCTTCTTCTTTTCGTTTAGATTCCCTGTCCTTTCTTTGAACAAGATTATTCATGGTCCCTGATTGGTTTGAGACGAATACCTCGAAGGACATGGCGAGATGTTGTCGAGGGCTGTCACGCAAGGACTCTTTGCCACCGGAAGAACTCGTGGCAAAAAGACGGAAACCCGAATAAGTGCTCTGGCGCCACCGAAAAATACATCACCAGTAAATGTCTTCTTGAAACCTGATCATCTGCTGCCGTGTGTCGTCGTAAAGCAAGAGCTTGCATGTTTCTGTCTTTGCTGAAACAGCTCTGGCGGGAATTTGTACCCCAGTCTGAACACCACCGGCCTGAAAGCTCCTTGATTGATCAGTCACACTCGACAGCCCTGCTGCATGTAGCCATTGTCATTGAGCGTCCTGTCCTGCATGGGTATTGCCTTTGAGGCCCAAGCGGCCCATCCTGATAATTTGTAAGAAGACATCCTATAGTAGATATATTAGTGAGATTAGAGCCAATTCCTATCGCTGAGGGATTTACTAATTTACAAATACGCGAATAGTATACAAACTCTTGCCCTAGAATGATAGCGCCTACTCTGCATCTATGCTCTCGCGGTTCTCGTCGACAATCAACTGCATCATCTTGAGCGCCTTGTCTTGGTCCCGCAGCTTGCGAAAAGCGTCATATGTGTACTTGTCGGGCTTCAAACCGGTTGCTTCCATTTCTTGCAGCAACGTGACAGTTTCTTTTGTATTTTGCGCCAGTGCTTTGTGCCGGATCAGCGTGTTCCACGTCACCAAGTTGGGCTCAATGTCGAGCTCCCGCATCACTTGCAACAGCTGCTCGGCGAGGGCGTCTTCCCCTTGATAAAGCAACCCTCGCAAAAGAATCGTCATCGTTAGCACGGTCGGGGCTGGATGAACCGTCACTTCCATTGCCGTTTCGTCCGCCAGCTTGCCGTGGTCCGGATGAATAAGATGACTCGTTGAATCGGGCGCTTGGTTGGAGACGTTGTCGTTGTTGGCCGCCGACCTGGTACGTAGAGTAGCTTTGAGCATGTCACCGAATACATGCAGCGCCTCTCTCCACAGTTCGCGATGCTCCGTCATGACCAGAATAAATGTATCATGAATCATGGCACCCTGGCTCTGCAGCAGAAGCTTGGGATATTTCTCATCTTCCTCAAGCCGCGACTTGAAGTACCTGTAAAAGGCCAGTATGTCCTGCGGGTGAGAGAGCGACCGTATATAAGCTCGCAGCATTACTGCATCGGCCATGGTATTGGGTTGCAGCTTGGTCTCTGCAGCGTCGCCTTCGGTTTCGAAAACCTTGTCCACCACGGGCAAGATAGTGTGCACAAAGTCCCATTCGCGATCCAGGGGGTCACGAAATTTATCATCCACTTCCTTGTCAATGCCCTCGTCGCTCAGCAGCAACGGCAGCGAGTCTGGCAGCCACCACTGGAGAGACTTGAGCTCAAACTTCTTTGCATACGTCTTCAGCATTGGGCGAAACATTGGCACCGACCAAGGCGTCTTCATCTTCTTGCTGTGAGTTTCCGAAGTCGCAAAGTAAAAGACTGCATGCAACGCGTTGCTAAGCACACTCGCAAACGAAACTGGCGTGACTTTGGCGACCAGCAAAGCCTTGGTCACTGTTTCAACATTCAAGCTGGCTTTGGCTCCAGCAAACACAGTGGTCCAGGCCCTTCCATCGAGTTGCACGCCGTGTTCCGCGAATAACAAAGCCAGGTGAATTGCCTCTTCAGTCTGCCCTGCCTGACACAGTGTGGACAGTAAGGCTGTGAGAGTGATTGTATTTGGCGTGTAGCCGTGCGCCATGAACAGTTCTAGAGCATCTTTTGCTGCAAAACTATCCACCCCCTGCGACTGGTAGTCGCTCATGGTCTTGAACTGTAGCAGCTTCGTGACCACACTGGCCGATGCTGCATCATTCAATGCCGCGCCGTTCTCCACCATAGCTTTGAGAATCTCATAAGCCGTATTCTTGTAAGCGACTTCGCTAGCGAGCTTGCTGGCAAACTGTAACTCAGTGTGCCGATGAAGTCGAAAGTCCTTCTTCTTCAACATATCATAAAGATCCTTGGCTTGGGCCGCCGGCAGTCGCGCCGCAAAGAGGCCAACAGTGTGTTGCCGGAATGGGACATGGCCCTCAGGAACATCTTCCAACATGTGGGCTAGTAGAGCCAAAACCTTGTCAGCCATCAAGGCTCTATCGTTTGCATCTTTGATGCTGTCGAGCTGCAATCTCTGTCCCATCACGTGGAGTACATCGTGTATGGCGTATCCGGGCGGCAACGGGTTCAAGGTCGCCTCCAGAACCATGGCCACCTTGCTTGGACAATTCGTTAGCGTCGCGAGCATGACCGCTGGCCACTCCTTCCGCCTCTTCTCGATACTCAAGGCTTCCCAGGCATCGCGCATGCTTGTTACATCATGATGTTCATATAACCACCTGCCCCGATCGTTGCTATATCGCAGAGCAGACTTATGACCTGTGTTCAGCTTCAGTATTGCATTCTTCCACCGATCGAATTGTTGTTGCACAGAATTCAGCTCTGATTCTGAACATAGGAACGGCAGATAGCCCCGCTGCCGTTCTTTCTCGCTCATGTGTGCTCGTACGCGCTGCAGCTGCGGCTTGTCTCGCTTCAACCGGGGAGATACGTAGGGAACATGAGATCTTTTGGGGGCCACTGGAAATCTTCCAGCCGCCAACGTCTCGTTGGAGTGCACCGACGTTGAATGTTGAGGGGTGTGTGTGCTTCGTTCCGCTTCGTCAGCCGCATGCGCATTCTCAAACCTGTTCCTCATGGTCTCGTCCATTGTTGTTGAGTATTGTCGTGATAGAAGCGAGGTACAGGGAAATTTAGGAACCAGGCATTCTCTGCGCAGCGTATCTGCCAATAAAAGCAGGGTCAACGTCTGCGTCATGCGAGCCTGGCCAGTGTGGGCACGTCGTGATGCTGAGCGTTGCGCCGCGTGTGCTCTCAAGCACAACTCCCTCCTGGCGCCATGCATTGTGATTGAAGCGCACGTTGAAGTCGTATGCTATACCATTATTCGTTCTCCTGCCGCGATACGCAATCGGAAAGTCATAAACATTGTCGCTCCCGTTGTCGCGTGGTGAGGTTTAAGGGACAAAATTAAGGTGGGCCGTGAGCACCTTGTCTTTTTTCCTGCGCTGGCTGTCGCACTTCAGCCTGGCACGCCTGGCATCGACTTTCTTCTGCCCCACCAATCTTCAAGCTTCTCGACGCAAGAGAAAAACATTGCAGCTACAGATTTTGGCAATTGAGCAAACCGGTGTCGGACCCTACTGCACAATGTCGTCGCATACCGCGCTCAGCGCCGCCTCGGAGGATCGCAAGGCGCGTCTTGCCAAGCTCAAGAGCCTCAAGCGCAAGCAACCCACCGACGAGTTCGTCGCACCCGAAGCCAACGAGCGATTGCCCGCCACTTCCAGCCACAAAGAAAACGAGGATGCCGACGGCGAGGATGCACCTCCTGACGTGACACATTTGCACCTATCCGGAAGAAATTACGACCCGGAGACGCGCGGCCCAAAGCTCGGATTCGAGGCGCCGCCTACTCTGGCAGACGACAAGGCCACGCTCGAGCAGCAGGCCGCGGACCTCGAGGCCCAAGTGAAGCAGCAGGCGGCAACCGAAGCTGCTGAGCAAAAGGGCATAGACCTCTTTAAACTGCAGCCAAAGAAGCCCAATTGGGATCTGAAGCGTAACCTGGAGCAAAAGATGGACGTCCTAAATGTTCGCACAGACAACGCTATTGCGCGCCTGGTCAAGGATCGCATCACCGCTGCACAAAAGGCGGCTCAAAAATCTTCAAGCGGAGAGGATGTTGAGGCTGCCGGAATGGACGGTGCTACGCTTGTCGAGTCTCTCAGAGTACGGGAGCAGGAAGAGGAGGAGGAGGAAAGGCGAGAAAAGGAAGAAGATGAAGCGCTGACCGCATAGGAAGGGTTGTTGGACGTGGAAAACTGTTGCATTTGTCCTTGTACATATAAACATGCGCCTACTGGTGTAAATATTGATACCCTTCATTGTTACGCATATTACTTTATTGCCGCTGCATTGCTCGCGTCATAGCCAAACGTTGGCTGAAAGGGCTGAGACTGCGCTCTCTTGTGTCGCTCCTAGGCGCGGTGTCTCGTCGATGGCGATTCCTATCTCCATGATTCCCCTGCTCGCCATTTCTGTCTCCTCTGTCACCACGCTCACGTGGTGACCGAGACCTGCGACGACGCTCCCCGTCTCTGCGCCTGTGATCCGAGCCCCGGGGAGAAGCTGGTCGCGTATCCTCGCGCCGTTCTCTGGTACGTCGTGGCGACCGACTTCTCGAGTATTGCCTCCTATGTCGCGACTCTTCCACTTCCCCAGCCTCTTCCCCGCTTTCAGAGCCGTATCGGTCTCTTGGACGTATGGGCGGCGATGCCGAGCCAGCGCGCGAGTTGGTGGACACAGTTGACACAGAGTCGACAGAGGGCGACCTCGGTCGTCGCGGGGCCTCATCCGACTCATCATCCCTATCCTCCAAAGCGCGTCGCCTTTCTCTCTCAGATTCCTGCCTAGCCAGTTCCTCGTCTGCGGCGCCCTTCCTATAGTTGTGTCAGTCGTGAATTGAGCGAGTGTCATAGGCAGCATACTTTTTCTCCAAAGGGTTTGGAGCATCATTTGTGAGCTTTGGAATGAGTTTGGGGTTGCGAAGTTGCTGTGTTCGCGATGGTCGAGAGACATATGGTCGCTCCTGAGCCGTCGCTTTGCATTCATATGAATAGTGCCGTTCTAGATAGTTAGCGGCAATGAAAAAAAAAAAGCTGAGTGGGCAAGACATATCTCTTTTTAAGCACTTCTGACATTGTACATTGGCCGGCGTTGACCGTGAAGGTCCGCTGCGATAGGAATGCATTTTCAAGCCCTTGATCCTGCCGGGACCGAGGTGAAGGCTGCTGCTTGTACGGATACTGGCACTTGTTCTACTTGGAGCCCATCACCAGATGCTGGCAAGACCTCCAGCCTTGGTGCACGTGACCGAGTATCCCAGGTTGGGCTTCTCAGCCAGCTGCTAGACGTGACGGACATGGATTAGACAGTTTTCATTTTAGAAGAAAAGAAATACTAGCTGGAAAGCTGATTGAGTTCTTTCCGAGGTTCCGCCAACCGAATAATTTAGATGTATTTGCTGTATACATTTATCTGCGCTTGCTGCCGTCCCGCCATGCCATGTACAACCTTATGGGCTGGCGACGGCATGACTAGGCCTACCGAATAACTTGACAGAGGATATGATGAAATTCAGGCGACACAGCAAGAATGAAAATCATTTCCTTTCTGTCGATGAAAATATTTCAGGCCTTGTCAGGCCATGCAGACAACTGCAGACTGTCTCGGCGACCCAGCCCAGTCACCTGACTAATGGGTATCCAACTAAACGCCACAGCCGTGGGAGGGCGGCCGCTCGAACAAGATCCCAGAACTTTTGACCTGCCGTGCCTGCGTCTAGGAATTTATTTTTCTGTTTGGAGCGACTACCCGAACCTCGTCGCTTGCGTTCTCTCAGTCAACCAGAATCTTGGTGCATACGACCCGGCTCTCGTTATCATTTTTCTTGTAAGTTTCCTCTCTCTTGGGAGTTTTTTTCTCCCCCCTCTCAAGCGCAACTGCCCCCCCCCTCCTTGACGTCTGCCACAATTTCTCCAGCCCCACGACATTTCTTTTCGAGAGTCGCAGAACGTCGACGCCGACGCACCACGAGAGCTAACTCGCCTCTGCAGCGCAACTTGACTGCGAGACGGAAACTATTCAACCGTCGTTCTGGTCGATACGATACTTGCGAGCGTCTTCAAGATACCGGAAACCATGTGCTACTTTTCTCGATCATGAGACTTCCGTGGTGCCTTCTCTGCTAAACTTATTTCGACCGGCTCTGATTTTTTTGAGTTTCTGTTGGCTCTGCCGTCATTCTCGTCTCTTTTACGCGCCTTGTATCGCATCCGTTCTTCTTGACAAGACGGCATTCAATTTTGCAGTCTTCTGCTACTGCAGCTATTTATACCCCCCTTACCAGCGCAAACGCCCCCTGCAGCAAACGTACGTCGTAAGGTCAACGCTGTTTCTTGTTGCTGTCGCACTGCTAATGATAGAGGCCACAGAACTAGAATTTCTAAGAAACTGCCCTCACTTTCTCCTACCAATGGATACTACACAAAGATCTCTTGCGACCGACCCCGTCGTCGTCGTTGGCGCATCGCACATACCAAAGTCAGTTGCCATGCCGATGAAGCAGCAACCCGCCGGCATCCATGCGGCTGCTGCATCCTTAAGCAATCTCAACTTGAATCCGCACCTCTCGAATGCCGGCGCCGCGGACAAGCTCCCGATTATACAAAGAATCGACTCCAGCTCCGACTCAGGGACTAAGCCTCCCAGTCTCGACGGCAAAAGCATCACATCAGGAACCACTTTCGCGCTGGATGAAAAGGAGTCTCTTCGTCCAGATGACAGTGCAAGTGTGCAAGCGGCGGCTGAGGATGACGATGCCGCATCTCTTGTTGCTGGGTCGCGGCTGGGCTCGGAGGCGGCTGCTAGGGCCAGAGCCCGGCCTGCCATTGCCATGGGAAGCCATGTTGCTGGTCTTCTCACCCCACAAAGCACATCCTCGGAGCAACAAGTTGTAAATGGCGCTGCGCTACAGCTTGGTGGTGAGGTTGGATCGTCTGATGCGCTCAACGTCATCTACCGTCAAGCGCCCGATGATAAGCTCCTCGATGCGCTGGCTTCGCCGCGCGATCGCTTCTTCTTATTGCGGCTCGAAACAGACGTGATAAATTTCGTCGAAAACTCCAAGTAAGATTCAGCATACCACTGCAACTCGTCGACTTTCTAACATGACGCTTAGAGAGCCTTATATGGACCTACCACCATCCAATTCCTTCTGCAGAATGTTGACCCACAAACTAGCAGACTACTACCATATGACGCATTCTTACGAACCGCATATCGGGTCTGTTCGGATATTCCGAACACCATTCTGTCGGGTTCCGGCGTCGCTGGCACAGATGGTTCCGGCGCCGGCCCCATCCTCCAGCAACACGCCACCGCCTGCAGTCTTGCCGCGAAAGATTATGCGACGCGGACAAGAAGGCGATAGTGCTGCGGCTAGCGCCAGCCCCTCCAAGGCTGCTTCTGAGACTGGTAGTGATGCAAAGCAGCCTGCTAACCAAAAGTGAGTTGCGCATTACTGTGAACGCAAGCCGGAGCTAACACATTGTAGGCTTTCCCGGGAGCAGCGCGAGGAAGCGTACAAGGCCGCCAGAGAGCGAATCTTTGGAAGCTCCGAGGATAGCCCCGCAGGTTCGTTCTTGTCGATACCCTTCATGATGCACTATACTCACTCCTTCAAAGCGGACAATGACGCAGAAGTTGGCATGTCTAGAACGAGCTCTGCGTCCGCTAATAGGTCAAACTTGGGCAAGCGTGGAAAGGCATCCAAGCAGCGCCGCGATTCGGATGGCTTCGACTCTCGACACCAGTACCAGCCTTACTGGGGACCTCAGCAACAAACATGGGTGCCGCAACCGCAAACGCAATATGGACCACCCGGTGCGCTGTATGCTACCGCTGGACCGTCTAACTACCAGGTTCCGCCGAATTATACGCAACCAGGGCCAACCTATGGCCCGGTCCCTGCCATGCCACCCAATGCCGGATATCCTGCCTATCCTCCCGCACCGGTATGCGCAGTCCTCAACCCCCAAAGGTTAGTATCCAACTGACTTGATATAGTATCCCGCTGGAGGAAGCCCTGTAGTGTACGCACCGCAGCCGCAAATAGTGCCGAATACACCATCTCATGGGTGGCAGCCTACTTACAACGCGCCTGGGCCCTACCCGCCGCAGGGTCCTCCTCCACCTGGAGCACCGCAGGGTTCTAACCAAAGCCCCGGCCCGCTCTACGGCCCTGGTGGGATCCCCTACGCATTCGGGCAATTACCCGCAAACGCCAACCCGCATGACCCCAAAAGCCAGCACCCCATCCCAGGTAGCTATAACCGAAACCATGGCTTTAACCCCAAGACACAATCATTTAGCCCTGGAGTGCCCATGGCTCCTGTTCACGCACCGCAGCCGCCATTTACTGCACCCGGATCGCATCATAGCAGCCCTCAAATCGGCACACCGCCTCATCTGGCTTACACGGGTTATCAGCCCCCAATGCCTCCTCCATACGGTGGTGCGTACGGCATGGCCAGACAAGGCTCCAATAACTCAATCCCATCGTACCACGGCCCTCCTCAGGGCACGCCTCCACATGTGGCTATGCAGCCTCCCCAGCATATGGCTCAGCAACCGCCAATGCCCGTGAATAGCAGACCGCCTCCCCATGGGCCGGCACCCAATGGCCAAATGTACAGCCACTTGCCCACGTACGGAAATCCCGCTTCGTTGCCCCAGAAGCCAGCTACGGGAATGTGAGAGCAACACTTGCGACTGTCAATCTGTCGGATACAGACATAGAACGGAAAATTGGTGAATGGCGCAAATGGCATGGATTACAGCATATTTGGGCGTTATGATACGAAAACGAAAAATCAAAGGGAAAGGGCGGATTAGGATAACTTTTTGCATCTGGCCTGTTATATATCCATAAAAGGGGCAAAAGAGGAAACAACATATCATAGAACGCAACGACAAAGCACGTTTCAATGTTTACACTTGAATGGACAAGACCTACACCCACGCGAAATGATCGCGGTAGAAAGACTGTATCCTGATGTTTTTGAAGATTGAATTTTCTAAAAAAAGTATATGTTTGCCAAGCAAATCATGACTTGTTCATGTTTTTCTTCTTTGCCTAGCCCACGTAACGCCACGATGAAATCTTTTTTATCTTTCTCTCGGAGCAGCAGCCCTCCCCAGAGACCCGCGGCCTTTCCTCTCATCTCCGACTGCCCGCAATCCCCTTGTCCCCGCATACCGACTTCCCTGTAATTCAATATAAACCCAAAGTACACGCAGCTGCACACCGAAAATCAGCGGGGAGAAGGAGGGCGGGTTGGATTCCAGAGATATCTGCTGAACAGCTTTTGCGTGTCCAACATGCAAAAAGAACCCATAACACACACAAAAAGAGCGTCATTTGAAATTCGTTCTTTTGATTCATTTCATCTTCTTGTTCATGCCGAGGTAGCCCAGGATAGGCTCCGACTCTATTCCGTAGGTTCACGGGGTTCTCTAGGTTCCCGAGGCTCTCTGGGTTCGCGCGGCTCGCGCTGCTGGCCGCCTCCGCGGCCACCGCCCCGGCCGCCACGCTTGCCGCCGCCGCCGCGCTGATTGCCCTTTTCGCCGTCGCCGCCCTTGCCTTCGGCATCCTTATCGATGGCGACAAGGTTGGCGGTGGCGAGGCGCTGGGAGAGGTCGATCTGAGTGCGGATCGAGTTGGCGAGGTAGCTGACCATGAGGACGTCCTGAATGTGGTTGTTGAAGTCGTGCTCAATCTGGGCGGCGTCAACCTTGGGAGCGAGCGACAGAGCGCTCAAGAGGTACTGGCCGAGGGCGTTGTTGGGCTCCTCATCTTCGTCGAGAACGCTATTCACCCACTCGCTGACGCGGTCCAGGAGACCGATGGTGTGCTCAATGGTGCGGCCGAGGCCCTCGATATCGGAGGGCAAAGAGGCGGTGCGCGACTCAACATCCTTGGCCGAAGCGACGGCCTCGAGGGCGCTCTTCTCGCCATCGCCGTAGATCATCTTGTGAGGGACCTGGATGAAGAGGCAGCTGTCGGCAGCGCGCTCGGCGTTGACGGCGACAGGAGCCGAGATGTAGCACCGCGTCTCAATGTCCTCGCCGGGTTCCGTCGAGATGGTCATGTGGACGGCAGGGTGCGGGAACGTGCCGGTGTCGGGGCTGCCGAAGAAGTTTTGGATGAGGGCGCTGAAGCTGTTGAGCTCGTGCGAGGTCGTGTACCAGCCGAGGAGCGATTCGCGGGGCGACGCTTTGAGTGTGAGGGCGAGCATGCTCTTTTGGTATTCGACGTCGACCTCAACTTGGTCCTCCTCCTCGGTGTGCGGGATGGCAAAGCACGAGCGGACCTCGACTTCGGTGCCATCTTCAGATCGGGTGCCTACCAGGGCACCAATTACGCGGGTGGGCTGAGCGCCGTCACGGACATCGCGACGAACGGCGTGGTCGAGGATCGAAAGGATGGCCTGTTCCGGTCCGTCAGCAAATCGCGGTGTTCAAGAAGCAAGTCTGCCAATAGCTTCCCCTCAAAAAGTAGAGAGGCCAGCTCGCAGCGTGCTGGAAAAATCGTGGTTACCCACCTCGGGCTGAATATTGACACTGAGGGGCGCAATGTTGGTCTGGATGCCGACGTTGGCGTGTGCCAACGGGCGCGCAAGGTGTATAAAGCGCTCGGTAGCGGCAGCCATACTGGGCAGATTCAAACTCTCGACCGGGGATCGTGGTGTTGTGCTGGTCGGGGCGGGTTGCGTCGTGGAGGGCGGAAAAAGGACGGGTGGTGGTGTGCCAGCAAGTTTCTTTTCCCACAGCGAGGAGGGGCTGTTCCTTTTGCGTGTGCCAGCCAAATTTCAACCTCGATTTTGGGTATTTGGCTCGTTTGGCAGGCTCCGCTGGGGTTGTGCGCGCTAAGATAACCCGTTGATAAGCCGGTGTGGCGGTGCAAAATTTGAATGGCCCACCTTCTGTGGCTAGTGCTTCAAATATTCTTTTCATAAGTACTAGGGTCTCAATCTTTGCTCTGGAAGTAATTTTCGGTACAACTCATAAGAACGTCTTTTCTAAGGATCATGGCTCGTGGGAGAGGCAATTTTAGAGGACGCGGAGGTAGCCGGGGTGGTGGCCGAGGAGGCGGCCGAGGGCGAGGGCGAGGTGGTCGAAAATCATACAGCCAATTTGGTCCAACCCGTCGTTTCGATAATGCCCGTCTCGATGAACAGTAAGTGAAGGCTCTCATTTCAATCACTCTTTAGGATAAAAGTTTGACATTTACAAGGGACTCTGACTCATCTGAAGGATCGGACAATGAAAAAGAGGAAATAGAAGAGGACGTGATGAGCGTGGAATCCGACGACGATGAGGAAGAGATTGAGCAAACCAGCCGTCCGTACATGGCGCTACTGCAAAGCTTCCAGGAGTCAAGCACCAACAAAGCTAAGCGTCGCAAACTGGATCACAGCATACAATCCGAAGAGGACGACGATGCAGAGGAAGAGAGCGGCGACGGAGACGAGAGAAAAGAAGCTCCAGATGCTGATCTAGTAGAGCAAGAAGAAGAGGAGGAGGAGGAGGAGGAAGTTCTGCAAGCAGGTGATGATGACGAAGACTCAGAGGACGAAGGAGAGGCTTTGGACCCCTTTGATATTCACTTTGCACATCCCGATGAAACCAGCACGGCCAAAGCCGTCAATGCTGCCAAAAACGACGAGTGGACAACTGGGCGAAGATTGATGGGCCCCCTCAGGGCTACTGTGCAATCTGCCGGCTCTGATAGCACATTTTCTACTCAAGACTTGAAGAATATCAAGTTAAAAGAAAAGCTGCAAGAAACCTTCGGCAAGACTGTTGCTGGGCTGAATGAAGCACAAAAACACATTGCTTCTCTCATGTTCAACTACCAAGATGTATTATATTGCGATCGCAATGTCGACAACGCCGAGATACTGCGTCGACTGGCCTGCAGCCATGCGCTGAACCACATTTTCAAGTAAGTTCCGCCATGCGGTCTAGACACGTGCAAAATTCGCTGACCTTCGCCTAGAACACGAGATCGGGTGATCAAAAACAACTACAAGCTCGCCAAAGATCCCGAGACAGAGCGAGAATTCAGAGATCAGGGCTTCACGCGCCCCAAGGTGCTCTTTCTTCTGCCGACGCGCAGCTCGTGCGCCAAGATGGTGCGCACAATACGAGAGCTGTGTCAGCCCGATCAGGAAGAGAATCGCAAGCGCTTCGACGAGGCGTACGTGACAAAGGACAACAACTTTGGCGCCGACAGACCTGCCGATTTCCGCGAGCTCTTCGAAGGCAACGACGACGACATGTTTCGGCTCGGCGTCAAGTTCACCCGCAAGACGGTCAAGTACTTTGCACAGTTTTACAGCTCCGACATTCTCTTGGCCAGCCCGCTCGGCCTGCGCATGGCGATTGGCTCCGAAGAGGACAAGAAGAAGCCGGACTCGGACTTTTTGAGCTCCATCGAGGTCGTCGTCGTCGACCAGGCCGACGCGCTGCTGATGCAGAACTGGGAGCACGTCGAGTACATTTTCGAGCACCTCAACCTGCAGCCCAAGGACGCGCACGGCTGCGACTTTGGCCGGCTGCGGCCCTGGTATCTCGAGGACTGGGCGCGATACTTTCGGCAGACGGTCCTACTCAGCGGCTTCCACACGCCCGAGCTCGCAGAGCTGCAGCGCGGGATGTGCCGCAACTGGGCCGGCAAGGCCCGTCTGCAGCCTGAGTACCCCGGCGTGCTGACGCAGCTAGGCGTCAAGGCGCGGCAGACGTTTTCGCGCTTCCAGTCGCACGCGCTCGACCAGGACCCGGACGCGCGGTTCGAGTACTTTGTGTCGGCCATTGTGCCCAACATTGTCAAGCGCGCCAAGGACGTTGCCGGCGGCGCCGGCGGCGGCACGCTGCTCTTTGTGCCCTCGTACCTCGACTTTGTGCGCGTGCGCAACTACTTTGCCACGTCGGTCACGGTCGGCGCCGTCTCGTTTGGCGCCATCTCCGAGTACACGGACGTGCCCGAGGCGTCGCGGGCGCGCTCGCACTTTGTGACGGGTCGCCACAAGGTCCTGCTGTACTCGGAGCGCGCGCATCACTTTCGCCGCTTGCAAATCAAGGGCGTACAGCGCGTCATCTTTTACGGGCTGCCGGACAATCCCATCTTCTACAAGGAGATTGCGGGCGAGTACCTGAGCAAGAGCGAGCAGGACTTTACCATTGAGCCTGGCAAGGGTGCCGTGCGGGTGCTCTTTTCCAAGTATGACGCTATGAAGCTGGAGCGGGTGGCGGGATCAAAGAGAGTGGGCAAGATGTTGCAGGATCGGGGCGATACCTTTGATTTCATCTAGTACAGGTTTCATCTTGAAGATTGGTAGACTTGTATTACGCATAGAAAAAGCATGTATTTCTTTTAATGTCTTCTTACCCTCTTTGTCTCTAATTTATAGACAATGCTTTAGCTGGCACGTCATGCCGAACCACTTTGGTGTACTGGCACATGTAGCGGCACATGTAGAAGTGATGGCTTGTTTTATTGTACCAAAGGAAGAATTTGGCCAGCTTAGTGACCACAGAGGTAATGCCCGTTAATATACAATAGAGTCCCTTCTCTGGACCCAACAACCAAGCTCTATGGTACAATTTCTCTTCAGAATCATGACGTTGCTGCGAGGTGTCACGATTTGATGGCTCCCAGCTCGCCCTTCAAATCAGCTACTCGACATCGCCAATAGAGACATCGGCTTTGGGCACCCTCTTGCGAGTCGGGTCGCGGTTGCGTTTAATGTCCTTGACCATATATCTCTTGACCATGGCCTCGAACTCGGCCTCGCCCCGGTGCTTTGTCACCTTTTCAATATTCTCGCGCGTCAAGTCTCTGTGCTCCATGCCAAGCATGCGGTCACGGGCCACCGTCTTGGCCGTCATCATGAAGCGCGAGTCGCGTTCGCCGTCGACAAACTCGAGGATGGCGCTCTCGGCCTGGTCGTAGGTGTTCATGGGCTCGGTGCGGACGACGCGGGTGTAGCCGCCTTCGCGGTCCATGTATCGTTCTTTTAGGGGGCCAAAAAGCTTGGGTAGGTGGATGTGAGGCAGCTATTCGAGAGGTCTAGTCAGCTTTTTTTTGCTCTTTTGATAGTAGTACATCCCCTTAAGGAAGAGGCGTGATGCGCCGCCGTACATAGAGGATACCCTGCGCCGATCGTCTGCAGGGCTCGTTGTCGCGCTTGGCCAGAGTAATCAGCTTCTCGGCTAGCCGTTGGGCCTCCTTCGCTTTCGCGTATGTGGTTTGGATATGTTCGTGCTGGACGAGGGACGTCACGAGGCCACGCAACAAGGCATTGCGCGCCGACGACTTGCGGCCGAGATGGCGGTACTTGGTGAGGCCACCGGCCATTGTGTGAGATTGAAATGCTGCGCGTCAATTGATGAAGGGTTTTGTCGAAGGGAGGGTATCTTTGTCGTTGAATTGTGGTGACTGTTCTTTTCTCTTGTTCGTTTGCCTTGGTGTTTGTTGGAGATGCCCCCAAAAAATGCTTGGTGTGGAAACTTCGGGAGACGGCCAGCGTGCTGCCGAAAATTACCGCCTGGGAACGGGTTACAACTGGCGCAGCTCTGCTTCCAGCGCTGTTTGCCGCTAGCCCACCTTTGCCAACTACGTCAACATCTTGCGCTCAAAACGCACGGCAGAAGAAAAGCTGCGAATTGGCATCGCAGCATGCGAAGCTGATACTCAATTGTGCCATTCAACTTTCGATAGAAGCAGTCACAGAGCGCAGCGAAGCTCTACCCCGCCACAATGGGCTTCGTCTCCGGTTTTGTAAGGGCGGCCTTTTCCAGCCGAGCTCACATGCAGAGCTGCCACCCATCCCAGTGTCCATCATGCTAATTAATTCCTCTCTCTCTCTCTGATAGACTGGCGGCGTCACGCTCACTCTATCCGTCGCCTATCTCTCCGCTCTTGCCCACCAGCGCAACCGCGAGCGTCAAGGACAGCTTCTCCGCGCCCAGGCCCTCGAGCTGCAGAGCATCATCGATCCGATCCCGCTGCCGCTCCCCCCGACTCGGTCCGAGGTAGCGGCCGAGCAGCGCGCCGCCAAGGTCGAGATCCTCAAGGACAAGTGGAACGACGAGATCGGCCGCGCCGTTCGCTGGGTGCAGACCACCGACTGGGACGAGGTGCGCCACGGCGCCACATCGCAGGCCGGGGCACTCTGGGCCCGCGTGACCGGCCAGACCCCCGAGCAGTCGGTCGACGCGGCAAAGAGCGCCGCCGAGGATAAGGCGCGGTCGATTGAGCAGTCGGCGCGCGGCGGCTTCCAAAAGGCAAAGGCCGAGGCCCGCAGCGTCGAGGAGGCCGCGCAGAACAAGGCCCTCGAGGCCCGCCTTCAGGCCAAGAAGACGGCCAAGGAGGCCGCTAGCAACATTGCTGAGACCGCCAAGGAGGGGGCCCAGGAGGCGGGTGGTGTTTTGTCGTCGCTGCTGGGACGCGGTACAGAAAAGGCGGCCGAGCTGGCCGGCAAGGCCAAGGAGGCTGTGGGTCTGGCGAGCGGCGCCGTGGCCGACATTGACGGCGTGACGCTGACCACAGGCGCAAGTGCTGTCGAAAAGGCCCTGCATCAGCGATTCCAGAAGACGGCGATAAAGGACACGAGAACAGTGGCCGAGGTGCTGCAGGAGAGATATACCCCGGTTGACAGACGTGACAACACGAACCTGCGGGGACTGTAAGAACGAACGTACGCAAAATAGATTTACTTTGTTGGCTTTTTTTATTGTCAGTAGGCGTTGAGAAATACATGCTTAGAAGCTGTGCCAGAGTATCTTGGAGTTTAATGCGTGCAATTGCTGCTATGATGTACATCCTGTGTACATTTCTATCTATCAGATGCGCATCCGGTGTACATCTCTATCTATCAATGGTATTCGGTGTAAACTGCTCAAGTTGTCCGTTTCTATATATGTGAAGATCGTATCCGGCGCCGACAGGCTCGTATCTCACAGTGACGTCCTTGCCAATCAACTTGGCGATTTGCTTTACCCTCGCCATGCTCGCACGCTCACCGACGCCCGCGAGCAGAGGGCGCAGCAGCGCAGCAGTCGCTAGGCTTCGCTGCTCGCGGACCTGCACGCGGTTGGCGACCAGCACCGACACGAGTTGGATGATAAGCTGCACGCCAACCGTGAGGCCCACGATGACATGGACGTTCCGCCACTTTGTGATTTCGAGCTGGATGCCGCGCTCCGGCTCCATGCCGGGGGCGTCGACGTTTGCGTTGTACAAGGCGCCGACGGCGAGGGCATTGATGGCGTAGCGGCTGACGAGTGAGGCCATGAACACGCCGCTGCCGCTGCCCGGCTGCCCAAAGTACGTCTGCAAGGGATAGCTCTGGAACTGGTAGTTTGTCGTCGTGTTGCCGAGACCGATGTCGGAGACGGAGGCGCCGTAGCCCTGCAGCGCAATGGCGGGCGGTATGTAGCGGGTAAAGTTTGTGCCCATGTAGTGCTGCGGGAGGAAGCCGTTGGTGACGTTGCCGACGGAGACCTGGCACTGGTAGAACCACGGGTCCGTGTCGGACGGCTCAAAGGCGCTCACCCGGCTCCACGTATCGTTGGCCTCGGTGGCCGGGTCGTGCAGGTAGAGGATCTGCGAGCCGCCGTTGGCGACGGGAAGGTAGACTACATCTTGGCCGTAGTTGAAACGCACCGTGATGTTGGACGACGTGCCATTGCCGCCGGTGACGACCTTGAAACTATCGCAGCTCGCCGTGACGGTGACGGAGCGGTTCGAGGCTACTGTGCCGGCGTAGCTGGCATTGGTGAGTGTGCTCTCCAAGAAAAAATACGTGTAGGAGTAGACATTTCCGTTGTCGTTTGGCTTGGTGGCAGCACTACCGTCGCTGCCGTTGCCATCACCGGAGTCGAGTGGCAGCTCCTTCGTGTAAAAGACTTGAGCGTCGTCTGGATTGTACAGCGCACCTGGTTTTGGCGCAAGGTCAAGGCTGCCTTCAACAAAGTTGGACCCAAACTGCCCATACAGGTTGGCCGAGTATCGTCGAGAGTTGACATCCTCGGCTTCGTGGCGCTTTTTAGACGCGGCCAAGACCCTAGTGCCTTGAATATCGTTCAGATCGGCTATTGAAACAAGACCTGGCTTGGTAATGGCAAAATGGTTGGCGGGGTTGATGTTGTACGTGATGCCGAGAAGAGCCAAGGCTATTTGCGAACCCTGGGTCGAGGGGGGAAGAAGAAAACAAACAAACAGTCAGCCAAAGTCGTTGGAGGGCGGGGGAAAACAGAACAAGGAAATGGCTTACAATGTTCATGGTGACAAAGACGACTACGAAGATCTGAATCAGCGTGTGACGCGTGGTCCAGCCGAGCTGCAGCATCGTGGTAAAGTGCTCGCTCGACATGATGAGGTCCGCCTCGCGGGGCTTGTAGCGTCGTAGGCTAAGCAGCCACCACTGGAGCTCGACGGCATTTGCCTTGAGCGAGCTGGCAATGTTGAGGCCGAGCGAGATGGTGAGCGCAATGACGAGCGTGTTGAACTCGAGCTTCTTGCGCTGCGGCAGCGCGTCGTGCGACGAGTACCCCAGCAGCACCCCGTAGATGGCCGCGCACAGCACCACGGTGATGAGCCACCGCACCAGGCTCTTGGTCAGCAGCTGCCGCAGCTGCCGTCGGCGGTCAAAGTGCTCGTAGGCGTAGTGCGAGACGGCCGAGTCCAGGCTGCTGCTCGTCGTCGGGCTCGGCTTGCGCTCTGTCGTGGATGACGTTTGCTCCTTGGCCGCCGAGGGCGACGCCACGTCCAAGGGCTCAACTGAACGCATCTCGGCAATGGCGACGAGGCTTCGCGTGATGACAACCGCCGCAGTCGTGGGTAGGTCGTGGGCAATGGGACCGCGATGGGAGGTTTGCCGTCTGACGAACGATCCTCACGGCTCATGAAGAGCTGCGCGAAACTGTTCGGATGAGAGGCCTCATCAATTGCCCATTTCCACTTAGTAGATGGCACCTCGACTCCATACTTTGTAACGAGACCTGTGTCCCCGGTTCCAGGCGATGGCGAGGCACCAAGGGGTTCTAGTTCCAAGATAGCTAGTGGCCGCGCCGTCTTTACCCACAGGGACCCGAAAATCTGTAAAGATGAAGGCCATAGCCAATTTTCTGCCGAATCTGCCCGGTGGAACTCACAACGTTCAAAGCGGGCTGTGTAGTATGAAGAAAGCTTGTTTCGTGGTCACACGGTGTAAAGGCATGGTCTTGGCTCCGTCTTGTATCAGCCAAGCCATTTCGGGGCCACCGGTCAGCCTTGCGGAAAAATGCCGAATGGACGCTGCAGGGTTTGCTTCGCTGAATCAAGACATATGTTGTTGGATATGGGGTACTTGTAACAGCAGCTATAATAATAATGATAGTAATAATAATAGTAATGACAGGATTGAGAACACAGTAGATCCTTACTGGTTCTTGACGCAACGAAATAAGTAGAACTAGGTTGTTGTGCATGAGTCGTTCCGTTGTGTATTTGGTTTGTCGATGGCTATGCGCAAAAAAAAAAAAAAAAAAAATAGAACATGAGCAATTTGCATTTCGCTCTGCGGTTATTATAAAGGAGCCATTCCGGAAGATTGGTCAATATATCAGTTGGTGAACATGAACAGAATTCACTAGTTTTGAAATCAATATCCTAATTATAGCACTGAAAAGCGATCAGCATGGCATTGAAACGCTAGTTGGTAGATCATCGGCAAGTAGTCTCAACATGTCGACATACTCAGAATACTCAACTATCGTACTTCTCTTGCACCCACACAACCACTAGCTATAGTTACGCTGTAATAATCACACCACGTTTTACTCGGTTCATGTGTACTTTTTTATAGGCAAAAAAATATAAATTGCGACCCCCCTCCGGTTTCCAGTTGCCACAACTACTCTGAGCACGAACATAATTTCTCATAGCTTTCAATACTACCCTATTTACTCTGTGCCAACTTCTATGCTAAAGACTAGGAAACCCAAAGAAACAAAGTGACTTTGTGACACGCTCCGGGCCAATTCACGCGATCCGCAGGTAATATCTCTCGATTTATCATCGGTCCAAAACAGACATTGATTGGTTGTGTCGGCGGTACTCTACCACCCCTCTTGCCGTGTCCGCTTAAACGCGAGTCATGTCGCGCTCGCCGCAGCGTTGAATGTCGTTGCATCTCGTAAAGACTTTTCGCCTGTGAGCTTCGAAGTGCGTCATCACCGGACACATTCTCCATTTCAGACTCCAGTGCCAGTCGCATCACCTCTCACAGCCTTGTTCATTAGAGCCCGAAACTCGCGGGCTGTCGGCTTGTCGGCACAAATCAGCCAACCAGAATTGAATCTATCCTTGATCAATTTTCATGTACGACTTGTTATTGCGAAATTGTATGCAAAAAAGGTCAGGATCAGGAAAGCAACCTTTTAGCTTCTATCGATGGCTAGTTAGCAAGTTCCTCCCCAGCTATAAGCCGAATTATACATGGGGAAAGGATCAATCAAGACTTTGCACCGTTTTCTGAGGATTACTGCTGCCGATTTAATACGTTCTTCGCATCACCACATTCAAGTATTGAGCCTAGCAGACGTTTGGTTCGTCGACCCCTAGCCCGGCCCAGAGATGGGGACAGCGTCTTCACCGCTCCGGCGGGTGCTTTTTGTAGTCTTAAATCCTTCTGCAAAAATCCCTGTAGGGTCGGATTCATTTGTCAAATTCGGCAGTCAAAACAACATACTTGGGTAGAAAAGTAACATCGTGCAATATTCACTCTTGAGTTTTGAAAGCTGAGAATCTGCTCGTTCTTGGCCTGCTGGCACTGTTTCCACATATACCCTCCATGTGGGTGTAGATGGCCTCGTATATAAGCAAAGCCAGAAGGGGTTCAAGAGCTTGGGCTCATTCATGTATATTCAGAAATTAGCTACTCATTTATGCAGGTGTCTTGAGACATGTGCGCACCAGCATTGCTGACAGTTCCGGTGCCGGAAAGGCGTAGAGGACTCCCAAAGTGATCCTTTTCTTTGACTTCTCGCCGCAATCAAGGCCTTTTTCTAAAAGCCAAGTTGTCGAGAGACTTGCCAAGTCTTGTCATACTAGACGGATGATGAAGTATGCCAGATCACGCATTGGAAGGTTCAAAGCAGCTTGGACAAGGCCCCGTCCTCTGATACATCACCTACCAACCATGACAGCCCATGGCAAGCATCACTACCGCGAGCCCTCCTCTACAAAGCGAAGGTATTATGCTTATAATATTGTAGACTTACATACTGAAATGACTGAATTTTGTGCCTTTTCCTAGATTCTGCTCCGCTGTGCGACGGGGGACGTGAACACGGAAATTCTTGAGCTGAAGGAGATATACGATACTTGCGTGATGCCAATTGGCCACTGCAATATTTCCTTTATGCCACTTGAATTGGCAGTAGAGCAAAACCGAACGGATCTTGTTGATCCATTTCTTGACCGAGGAGCCGATGCGTCAAGGCCGTACTGGGAATGAAGATGAACCTGGTGCGTCGGCTCGTGGACTTAACAGAGCGTTCTGCTGCCACCAGAGATTTGTGCCTCGCCATCGAGCAGGAGGACAGGGAATTGGTCGAGACGCTATTGGCGGCGGGCATTTGTTGCGAGTTTGAAGAGTCCGACTGGCCAAAGCCCTGAGCCCGGTGATGATTGCACGTCCTGGGACGCGGGCCTGCTCCGAGAGTCTGGGTTAACGCCTCCTCTCGCACGCGGTGTGAGGCTGGGTAGTGGCGAACTCGTCCGTCTGCTGCTCGCACACGGCGCCAACGCCAACGTCGCGTACTATGATCTCTGCTGCCACCATCCGCGACAACACGATCATGGCCTATGGTTAGCTGCCCGTTCCAGAAATCTCCTGCGGACGGCCCGTGCAGCTGGCCATGGAGCTTGGCTTCGACGACATTGCCGAGCAACTCATAGGCGCGCGCGCGACGCGGATATCTATCTGCCCCAGCCCACTCTTACACTGAAGCGGAATACTGGACGCGCCATCTGCACAGTTGTCCCATTGTAGCGAGGAATGTGCATCTGGATGTCACAGCGCGGCTGGAGAGTGCGTTCGGAATAGACGAGATCAGACGCACTCTGAGGAAGGACAAGCCGTGTTGGCAAGTTGTCATGACTTGTTGATGTGCTGATGTGACAAAAGAAATAGCCTGCATTATTAGCGCCATTGTTGGGTCAATAATTAGTAAGAGCAACCCCTACCTTATGGGTATTTAGTACAAGGACCCCTACCAGCCGGATCAACCCGGGACGCACTAAAAATAATAAATGACCACACTCGAGGCTCTCCAGGCAGAGCCTTCATGCTTTTTCCATTCAGCCATCGAAAAAAGTCAGAAACCAGCAGAATGCCCCAGGCTCTGAATCTTCTCAGTTAACGTATCATTCGAATGGCAAAAGGGGCGTAATTGATTCCTCTCTCGCTGCTCTCGGGGTAGAGTGCGCGCTAACCTCAGTGGCTCAGGCATGTATAACAGTGTGACTACCGCTATAACGGTGTCATACTTATGGCGCCCGCAGCGTCGCACTTCTCATCATGGCTTAACCCAGCGCCTATTGGGTGTGCCAATTACCCTGCGCAGACCAATTAGATATTTATATTCATATTAGACTAGTACAATATTTATTAGCAGACCTTTGAAATCCATCCACTAAATATCAGGCTTTGTGATTTATTGCCGACCACCCGTAGTGCACCCGCTCTCCCTATTGTAACCCACTGGAGTTTGAGGGCTCTCCACGAATAAGGCTGAGAGGCGTTGTGACTGCTGGCCCGAAGTGGTTAATCTGTCCGGTGATGCAGGTACAGCAAACGCCGCCATTCTTTGTGCCCCTCGATGGCGGCCAACCATTGTCCACCAACAAGCACGGTTGCCACCAAACTTGGATCCTTCAGGATCCGTGCCGTCAATGGTCATGTGCGGCGAAAAATGCAGGGAAAGTTTGAATAAAAGAGCAAGTTATGGAGAGCCTGGCCTCAAACCCTGAGAGGTGTTCTCCCGTTTGCTCGTCCTTTTACTCTTCTTCTTTCATTCACAACACCACTCTTCTTTCTTCATGTTTCCCGATTCCTGACTGTCTTTATCGTATTAAATTATCTACATTCGTTTTCACCTTCGTTTCACTGCCAATTTCTTAGTTTTCTTCTTCACTCAACCATGTTGTCCAAATCCTTCGTTGCCGCCTCTGTGGCTCTGACCGCCGCCCTTACCGCCTCTGCGCAGACCTCTACTGTCTGCAACCCGCTAGAGAAGAGTACGTTCTAAACTCTCAAAGCCCTATTTACCCAAAAATACTTACAGATCCTGACGTACTCTTTAGCCTGCCCCGCCGACCCTGCTGTTGGCAATAAAGGCATCAGCTGCGACTTCACGCAGGGCGAATGCTCCGCCTTTGAGCCGGTGGCTGGCAAAGCAGTCACGTACGACTCTCACGGAGCCGTCTGTGCCATGGATGCCGGCCGCCAAGCCCCGACCATCTGCTCCAAGGAGTACATCTTTTTTGGTCGCGTCGAGGTTGAGATGCAGGCCGCCCCCGGCCCAGGCGTCATCAGCACCGTCGTGCTCCTCTCCGACGACCTCGACGAGATTGACTGGGAGGCCATCGGCTCTGACACCAACAGAATTCAGTCCAACATCTTCTCCAAGGGCGATCAGAACTACCACAAGCTTGGCGGGTTCCACCCCGTCGACGGCGTCTCTGGCAAGTTCCACAAGTACACCATCGACTGGACCCCCCGCCGTATCGAATGGTCCGTGGACGGTACCGTCCAGCGCACCCTCACCGCGGAAGAGGCCGGCGCTCGCTTCCCGACTTCCCCTACTCAGGTCAAGCTTGGGGCCTGGGTCGCCGGCTTCAAGGGCAACGAACCAGGCACTATTACCTGGGCGGGCGGTTTGGCCGACTTCTCCAACGGTCCCCTCAAGGCCTACTATAAGAACGTCAAGATCACCGACTACGCTGGCGGCAGCTCCGCCACCAGCAAGGACGTCAAGGAGTATTCGTATGGCGATCACTCTGGCAGTGCCAAGAGCATCCAGATCAAGCTCAGAGACGGGTCCAGTGAGACTATCGACGAGCAGTCTGGCAGCAGCGGCAGCAGCTCTGCTTCGAGCAGCTCCTCCAGCACCGAGTCCAGCACCAAGTCTAGCACCAAGTCCAGCATCTCTGAGGCCACCTCCGCTTCGGCCTCGACCACTACCTCATCTACGGCCTCGACCACTACCTCATCTACGGCCTCGACCATCTCTACTGGCTCGACTGCCGCTTCGAACACGACCATAAGCACTGTCAGCAAGACCTCCAGCCAGTCCTCCACTAGCACTCACTCGGGTACTCCTGCCGCCACTGTCCCAAGCTCCGGCGCTGCCTCTATCAAGGCTTCTGTCGTCGTGGCTCTTGCCGCCTTTGGTGCCATGTTCGCCCTGTAGCTAGAGCAACAGAATCTCTTCCTTGGAACTCTCTGCATTATGACTCTGCGGGGTGACTTTTTCTTTCATTGGTGGACGTTTAGATTACATGTACTATTAGAATACGAGTTACCCCGAATACACCTAGTTCATTTGCTACATTAGCCTAGATACTACATTTCATTTTTCACAGCAGATAAAGCGATACTAGAGATAAATCAATCAGTCTTAGTAGAGACTATCACTACTTTGCTTTGTAAGTAAGCTTACTTATCAATTATCCCTTTAGCAAACGCACTGGGCGTTACCAGCCTGGCCGTGGAAGGGAGGCGCACTGATGCGACAGCAGCCGCCGTGGCAGGTGTGGCCGTTACGCCAGTGACCGTCGGGGTTGCAATAAAGAATAGCGGTCTTCGCGCCGTCACAAATGGTCTTTTGCTCGGGGCCCTCGTAGGTGCAAGAGCTGCCGTCCCAGTAGCTGGCCAGGACCGCGGGGAGAGCGGCGGCGATGGCGACGACAGTAAAACCGATACGCATGCTGGACTGATGGGCTGTGCTTTGGCAACGAATCTTGACAAGGAAACAGGAATGCAATTGTTATCGGAATCAACTCTTCAACTAGGTGGGCTTGCCCTATATATATCTCCAGATGGGAAAGGCCTTGATGAAGATCCATAGTCGTCCAGAACGAGGTTGCGTCACTATGACTAACAGTTCTTTTGCGAAGGTCGGTAGCATCCTTTTAATGCATGTTTCAGTGGCAAGGTAATGTACTGAATAAAAAGTGAGGATGACCGAAACGGTCGTGTTATAGCGAGCGCTGCATGACGCTCCTACTGCAGAGAGCGCTGCACGACACTCAAAACAGCATGCCAGGCTGCTCCTACTGCAACGCAGCGTCGTATAACGCTTAAAGTAGCAATGAACGGATACCGAAACGTTTCCAATACCTAATAGATATAATAGAGTATTGAAGATAGGGATGAAGAAGTCGCCGAAATGGTTCTCCTTCCGGTTTCCGCATAGTTGGCTGTTAGTAATACTGATCAATGCATAGTAGGCAACATCATAAATAACGGCGGTTGTCACCTTCAATGCGGACTGTTGATCGGCTTTCTGCATTCGAATAAATATGCAGCTATGGCCATAATATCACATTTCTACTTTATGATATAAATCATGGCTGCCAGCCTGGTCCGTATTGACCAACCCTTACGACACAATACTTTCCTGGGTCCGTCATGTATGCCAAGTGCATTTTTGAGGACCCGAGTCTCAACAGTGCCCGAGGCACTATTTTGGTTGTTTTGGGCCCGATGGGCGCCGGCAAATCTCAATTTTCGCAAGCCGTTCTTGGAGAGTCCAACATATCGGTCGGCTCTCCTCACGCCGACAACGGAAGTATTGCATACTGCGGGGAAGACATGTGGCTCGAGCACGGCACACTTGATGATAGCATTATTGACAGTGTGACTCGCTTCTATATAGAACGACCGTTAGCGCATGTATGCCATACCAGAGTGTCCATCGCCCGAGCTGTATACTCGGAGTTCCCTCAAGTGGTCATGAACGACATTCTAAGCCCACTAGATCGCAAGACTGCTGTCGCGATCCTAACAGCTTACTCGGCTACGATGGCATTCTTCGCAAGCGAGAGACGACGGTGCTGCTCGCCACGTATCTGAAAACGACGACTGGCACCATCTCGCGACCGCGTTCGTTTCTGCGCGAGACGCCAGTCGAGCCGACAAAGAGCGCGATCTCGCCCAAGATAAGGCCGCGCACCAGTAAGATCCAGATCTAGCGGGTGACTGCGTAATGAGGGTAAGTACTGACCTTTGTGCTGTGAGCACTTGCCTAACATCTGGGCTTTAGGTCCGACAAAGCAAGTATCTGAGGACTGAAAGGCATTCCCCTGACAACTAAACCCGGTAGAATGAGCCACGGGGGTGCATCATCATCATCATCATCATCGGCCAAGAGCTTCCGACAGCATCCGTGCCCACCTGCCCCTTTGACCTCAACGACCTGAGCACCGCTTCTGGATCCACACGGATCCGACAGCATCACAAAGACGACGCGCTGCAAAGCATTCATTAACAATTTGTGCGTCTGGAAGCCCGTGCCCAGCGCCCTCGGTGGCCTCGACGCGTTGCTGGCCGCCGAGGCCGCCGCGCGCCCCATCATGGCCGAAGAGCTCGCGGGCTGCACCGTGCTGATGGTTGCGCACCGCGGCGCGGGGCCCATAGGCTCGGACTTGCGTGTCAATATGGCGTGCGGGCGCATCTGCACAGCCACAAAGGACAGGAAACAAGGCGACGACGACGATGACGACGAAGGAATGGCTGTGGGAGAACGCCGGGGGAACGCGATGTAGGCGCTCGTGCAGATGGCCAAGAAGTGAGACGGTAGATAGTTGGGGGCGCTCAGGATATACCCAGAGAAGAATCACATTCTGATATCGCTTTACTGCAAAAAACTTGATCCTTTTGAGAGATGGGGAATGATTTTTTAATGATTTAGTGATGTTTAGTCAATGTCAAACTCTCATGGACTAATCAATGACAAAGCAGAGAAGCATTCAAGGGCTCATAGACCAAAAAAAGACTCCGCCTTCCATCGATCTCAGCTACGTCGGATGTCAACATCCGAACATCTTCCGTAGTATAGTGGTCAGTATGCAAGCTTGTCACGCTTGAGACCCGGGTTCAATTCCCGGCGGGAGAGATCCGCCACCACTCTCAAGAGTGGTTCATATTTTTTATTCACTTTTTCTCATTTGGCTACAGAAGTTTGTCATCTTCGTTCATAGTATCGTTTCTTTTGATCAAACTACTCTGGACGTTACTGGTCCCTCTCTCCTATTCGTCGAGCCTCTTTCGTTCCTCTCACGGTTTGTGTTTTTGTGCCCTGGCGTATTGGCGGTCGTAGTGTCGGAATTCATCGTTAAAGAGATTGACACGAATACACGCAAACGGCGCAATCGCATGATCTAGGATTGTCGTACAACAGAGTTTGGCAGGCATTGACGCTGCGAGCGCTACGATCGCTTGCTGCCGATACCACTGCTGATCTGTCTTCACAACGCGATTCTGAGCTATTACGGCCGAATTTATATCTCTCAAATCGTCCGTATGGCACACTTCAACGAGCGCCGCGCCTAGTCACGGCACATCTCGCCACCGTATGCCAAGAGGATCCAGCGAGTACTCGCGAAAGCATCTCCGCAATGCCGTGAACAAGCCAGCACCATGCTGCAGCTAACAACGCCACAACAAGTTCATGCAATGCGATGCTTCACATGATGGCTGATTTGCGCGGCGGCACGTCACTCGAACCCTTCTTTGAAGTACCCCAGAGTAAATGACGCATTGCGCCGGACCCCCAGGTACAAAGGCGGGCGCATGGCTCACTGTTACTTTGATGAACGATGCTCTACGAAGATATCTAAATACAGCAAACATGGGTATACAAACTTCTCTCAGACGTCTTGGCAGCTGGCCTAATCGCAATCCGACCACTTTCTTGCGGGCGCCTGAATAATGTGAACAGTCTGGCAACGGAATTATGCAAGCAAACAGTTTGTTCAACCCCAGCCTCCAAAAAAACTCGGAACCCTGAGATTATTATAGAACTACGGTCGGGCCGCTTTACTGGGAAGATATCAACTACATGAGTATCAGAATCAGCGCGCCGCAACCAACACCCAGCACATCAGCTTGTTCGACACTTGGCCAGTCAGCATTTCAATAAAGCTCAACGACCAATTGACACCATGTCTAGCATGGAATTTGCCCATCTAAAGACCATATCACTTTCAAGATTAGCGAGTCGCGACCCCGATACTATTGCCCTTTTATATGAAGCAGTAGTCAACGAGGGCGTCTTCTATCTGGAGCCCTATCATGGTTGGGAGGACCAACCAGCCCTTCAAGCTGCTGATGTAGCTTACTGTCTGTCGCTTGCAAAGGACCTCTTCTCTCTACCTACCTCAGAGCTGCTTTTACATGATTTTCATGCCTTTGGCCAACACAGGTTGGACGGGTGAGTGTCGCGTCTCTGTTCTGTACTCGCCAGTTGCACTTTTGCTTATCGCGAGGCGGGATAGGTACAAGCCTGTGGGTAGAAATGCAGGCAAAAACTCCGCAGATGGCTTCGAAGCCTTTCTGGTGAGAGTTATTGTGATCAAAGTTGGGACGAAAGCTGAGCAACTAATCGACTGCGCATTGTAGCTGTCGCGCAATTCTCTTTGCGAATCTCCGCAGACAATGCAGAAGCTCCAGTATCCAGAGCCCATCGAAACCCGCCGTTTGCGCGTGCAGTCAGTAATGGAAGCACTGCACTTGACTGGACAGATCGTTCTCGGAGCAATCAGTGCGGCATTGAATATGCCTCCAGAGACGGACCTTTGCCTGCGACATCGCATAGGACAGCAGTCAACAAGTACCTTTGGCATGCTGCACTACCCCAAACTATCTGCGAATGATGCCGCAAACGCCGGTCGAATAGCGCATACGGACGAGGGCACCTTGACCATATTATTTGCCTCAGACTATGGACTGCAGATCCAAAATCCCTCGACACGACGCTGGGAGTTTGTGGAGCCCAGGACCGAGCATGCAGTCATCAATGTAGGCGATACACTACGATTCATGTCTGAAAAGCGTCTCAAGGCATGCCTACACAGGGTGGTTCCATTGCCTGGAAAGACGATTCTGGAGCGGTATTCGTTGGCGTACTTTATGAGACCAGAGTATGATGCCCCCTTCACAGACTCTGCCGGGCGCATGAGGGCAAGTATCGACTGGCACGTCCAAAAGTACTTTCGCTCCACAGGCACCGTGCATGGTGGTAAAAAATCCTCAAATTCTCTGCCTAGAATACCTGGATATTCGATGCGGTGCCTCTCAGCGAATACGACCTCTTGAACTGCACGGCCTAGATCCAATTCCTCGTGGGAGTGTCTGGCGACAGACACCACCGAAGGCGTGTTGTCTTGTAGGGAAAATAGCACCTTAACTCATTGACTGAGAACAGACGACTCTTGAAGATTACTTTGATTCAATTTTTCTTTCTTCTTTTGCGCGCCAATGACTTCCCTTTAGCGCCAAGCCCACATAACAGGACAGACGGCAACGCGCCATCTTGCGCGCAGCTATAACGTTCTCATGTGTCATTATGTCAACGTATTACCGTCAGTGCAGCCCGTTTCGAAAACCAAGATTACCGCTTGTTTGAAATATTCACTTGATACATCATCAGTCGAGCCCCCCTCAAACGGCTCTATTTGACTATTGTTGGCTCTCCTTTAGCGGCTCCCAAACCATGGGCCATAGTCTTATACCCGGGCCACCCTTCATCGGCAGGCCCTTGGCATCGCACTTGCCTTTGCCGAGCACAACAGTCCCGACCTCTTTAAACCCGAGTTTCGCATAAACATGTTTGCTACCCTCGGTGCTAGCCTCTAGCCAGGCTGGTCTTTGCTCCTTTTGAGCAATGGCCAAGACTTGCTTGATGATTGTGCTGGCCAGCCCGCGTCCTCTCCCTTCAGGCACCGTGGCGACGATAAAGACGTAGTAAAATGGACGCTTGCCAAGGACACGAGATTTGTGCGGCCCAATCTCGCGCGGAAACTCGTATAATGATTTGATGGTGGCGGAAATGCCGAGATTGGCAAAGACGCCGAGTCCGCCAGAGGATATCAGAGTCATGGGGTTGGTGACGTCTTTGCCGGGCGGTACTATCACAGTCGCGCTTTTCCAATCCGCTGCTTCGTAGATGGTGCCCTTATTTGCGATGGCGGCGCTAATCATGAATTCGAAAAGGGTGTTTAGTAATGGTAATCTTTGGTCTTTTGAGTAATTGTTGGTCATGTATACGAGGACGGGATCGTCGATGAATTGGGGGGCGATTGTTGCCACTGCTTGTGAGATTCGGGCTGACAAACTTCAAATCAGTGTTCAGCCGTGATGGCTTTGTCGAGGATGATACACACCGGCACCGCCTTCTGTGACTTGTGTAGACGCCATCATTTACATGGACGTGTCAACTAGAGGCGTTCAATGCAAAAAAACTTGCTAGGATGGGCTTTCTCGAAGCCCCGGACACACTTTATACTTTTCACCATTGCCTTTTCTGGGGATCGGCATGAATTTTGACCCGCCCCAGCCTCAGCGTATGAATGCTGTCATTGCGCCACTCAGCCCTCGCTCGGGTGCTCGGGGTGCTCGGATACTATAAAGTCGCCGCGACTCCCAGAGGTTATTCTCTTGCTGAGAGGGAGTTGGTTGGTCTCTAGATCAAATCTCGAAACTTAATCGGCCCCGAGGCCACCGACGGCAGATTGGCCAAACACTAAAGTCTTCTCCACTGTCCAAGTTGGGCAAACAGGCTATGTATGAACCATGGACACGCAATGGAAGGAACGGTTCGGCGCGGGCGGACGCCGATATAGAAGCTGTTTGAAGCCGTCTCGGGGCAATTCTTGGTGGAGCGCCGACCTTGGACCGATTTGATAGGTCATTGCAAATAACAACCTTTTTCGAAATATGCTCAGCCTTGTCGTGCCAGAAGTTTTTCTCCATCCACCCGAAAGCACTGACTTGAAACTTGTTCTCCTGTTGCAAATTGCGATTGCGCGGCTCGACTGGTCGATGCATGCCAAACCCCATCAAAACCACCACAAAACCCCAAAAGAAAAAAAAAAAAAAAAGAAGAAGAAAAAATAACAAAAGAAACTCTTTTTTAAAAAAATACCAAGCAAATACAAACATACAGCAGCCGGTGTTGGCTGGTCAGCACCGACTACGGGAAATCGCTAAAACGGACATCAGAGGACGGAAGGAGCTTGGCACAGACAGGCGAGGGGCCGGAATTTGTTTTCAAACAATAGCGTAAAGGACCATCTGGTACTGAGTACCATAAGACGTATTGATCTCCATTTTTTTAATGAATTGATGTCTATTTCTTCATAGATTGATGCGTATTCTTGTTGTCGCTTTAGTTGGGCAGCTTTATTCTCTGCATCATCGCGAGGTATGTACGTACATAGCAGTAGCACGTAGGTACACATTGCAGGATTCGTTCTGGTAATCGCCAGGCGGCTTCCATAGCAAACGTCAGTCTGGTCAACGATAAGACTCCGCTTTCAGGGGAAGTCATCGAGTAGTAGCGGATTGTAAGAAAACCGAGCAGCCAACCTTGGCTAAATGGCCAATCGCAATCGTTCGCCTAACGGCAGAGGTGGTAATAAATGAAGTGCATCCTTCCCTCTTGCTGAGATGTTCCCGTCACCTTCGTACCGTGCAAAGTCATTGATAGGATAGGAAAAGAGAAGGCCTCAGCATCCCAGAGAAAATAGCCAAGATTTTCCCGGTCGTATCATCACTGGCCAAGATTCACATGGTTTGTTCTGCGTCATTCGACGCTGGCCTCAAAGGACTGGGTCTTGCCTAATCTCTTCATCACCAGCCAAATTGATGCGCGCTTTCTGTATCTACATGTGTAGGTTTCGCCTCAGAAGTCGGGGACAGGCTTGCCCTTGAATCCATCATCGGCTAGAAGGTCCATGGTTTGGTCGTAGCACTTCGTGTCGCCTGAGAATTTGTTGTTGAGAGATTCTTGCAACATGAAAATTGCAAACGCAGAAAGAGGGGAGTTGAAGTTCATGTAGGGATGTGCTAACTCTATTCGACCGCCAATTTTCCCAAGGATGACGTAACAGAACAAAAGTTTATTACCTACCTATTGTTATTAATAGCGTGAAAAGGCAGAAAAGACAGATAGATCGACCCAGTCGGGCCGTTCGAGACCGCAGATTCGTGTCATGTGGCTGAGAGGAACTGGCAGAGTTACACAAAGCTGGTGCTACTAAGAGCTAATGATGTTGAGTATTACAAAAAACACATCTGTGTATAGTGGCAAAAGCTGAAAGTTAAAAGTCGAAAAAAAAAGAAAAAAAAGAAAAGAAAGCATCCAGCCTGTCAAATTCTAAAAGTGCAAAACGCCATGGCTAAATGAGGCTTGATTGAGTCCCTCGCCACGCAGAAAATTATGACTAACAAAATTAGTGGCTGGTAAAAAAGCCCACTGCTCAACAGCTCGCTGCTACAAACCGCGACTCCTTGGCGATTATCTTTGCCAGTTCCTGAATACTGCTTGTTCCTCTCAACACCATGAGCGGAATATTGGCCTGCAAATATGCTCCCACCCAGTTTCGCAACTCTACAGCCACCAACGAATCTACTCCATAGCTGTCAAGACTCTGCGCCGAGCTGAGCGTCTCTACCGGACTAGCGATGAGCTTGCTGAGCTGCAGCAAGACAAGCTGGCATATATTTTCCAGCAATTTTTCGGCAGGGGCTGTACCGTCCAGCAGTCGAGGAATGTCGGCAAACTGCACGCTGCCTTGGCCTGTCTGGCTCACCAAGTCGTGGCGGACCAAGTGGGCAAACCGTCGATCAGTCAAGCTCTCGTCAGTGTCCCGGGCAAGCATGCCAATAGCACACACGCTGTCTTTGGCATGGCCGCTGCGAGGATGCATCACGGCGTAATTCAGCATCGCAAGCAAGTCCGACATGCTGATGGTACCTAGACCCTGTTTTCGCAGCGCCGCGGCCACTTGGGGGCTCTCGCTCACGAATCCCACGTCGCGGACAGAACCGATATTGATCGAGTAGGCAGACATGCCGGCTGCTGTGCGGTATCGGGCCAAAGCGTCTTGAAAGCTGCAGCCAGCGGCATAGTTGCATTGCCCTAGGTTGCCGCGCAGCGCAACGGCCGACGACAGGAAGATGAAAAAGTCGAGCTCGTTACCGAAGCATCGATGCAGATTGAGAGAGCCCGCGACTTTGGGAGCAATGGCTCCGCGCCACTCGCCCGCCGTCATTTCCTCAAAAACAGAGTCCTGAGAGTAGTTGGTCAGCGTCATGATTTCACTCGAACATACCGAAGATAGTCAGAGTGCGACCGATGCGCATGCACGATGTACTTACCTGGAGTACCATCGCGGAGTGAATCACACCTCGGATGGGTGGTAGGCCACAATCTGCAGCTGCTTTAGGCAGAGAGGCCACCTGTTCTTCGGCTGTCACATCACACTTCATCGCAACAACTTTGACGCCTAGAGCCTCCATGTGTCTAAGCAGCGTCTGGCCTTGCTTGTCTGAGCAGCCTGATCGGGAAGTACACAGAATGTTCTTTGCACCTCGACTTCCCATCCATGTGACTATCGCGCGCCCGAGACCTCCGAGGCCCCCGACCAACAGATATGTTGCGTCCGGCTTCAACTGTGCTTGGGTAGGCGCTGGTGGGTCGGCCTGTACTCAAACAACGATTAGTATCTTTCGAACATCGTGATGGCTCTCGGGTGGAATCTTGGAAAAGTCTGCTCACCTTGACTTTCTGGTCTTCTTCCACTCGAAGAACAATCTTGCCGGTATGTTTTCCAGCTTGAATCATACGAAACGCCGTCTCAATCTCCGTGATGGGCAGCGTGGTGAGTGTGACGGGTTGAATGGAACACGAAGCTGCAAGCTTGACAACGTCTTGCAGTAGACGTCTTGCAAGCGACCTCTTCACCTCCATGATCAAACTGAGATCGACATAGGCAAACGTGATGTTCTTGAGCAGAAAGCCCATGGACATGCGTGCATCATCCATAAGATCTTTGCGACCAATTTCGACAAACCGGCCAAATGGTGCGACAAGGTTACACGAGTGCCGAAACTGATCGCCGGCGAGCGAGTTCAGCACAACGTCGACTCCATAGCCGCCGGTATAGCGTTTGACTTTGTCATGAAAGGCAGGGGTTCGGCTAGAGAAGATGTGGTCGTCGGCAATGCCATATCTCTCACGAAGCAGCTCCCGTTTAGCACTATTACCCACGGTGGCGAAGATTTCTGCCCCTATATACTTAGCAAGCATGATGGCCGCTTGGCCGACAGCACCGGCTGCCGAGTGAATCAAAATCTTTTCTCCCTTTTCCAAGCGGCCCATATCCACAAGGGAGTAGTAAACAGTCGTCCACACTACAGGCAGTGCAGCGGCTTCTTCAAAGGACATGCTGTCTGGCACAATTTGGCAGCAGTCGCCATGTACCACGGGGTAGTTGGTATAAGATCGTGAGTACAGCGCACAAACACGATCGCCAGCCTTGAAGCGGTCACGCATGTTGGAACCAACTTCAACAACGACTCCGCTGCAATCGTTGCGCATCTCATTGATACCTTCCAATTGACCAGCGGCGATGAGAACGTCCTTGAAGTTGATGCTTGCGGCGCGCAGCTCCAGCATCACCTCGTCAGGACCGAGCTTGGTCGCTTTTGTATCATCCTTCCACCGGATACTTTCCAAAAGCCCTGGTACGCGAAGCTCTGCCGACATTGGACGCCGCTTGTCCAAAAATGGGGACAGCTCGGGTGGTGCCCGATGCCTGCTGCGGTGTATGTAGTCGCTCATCTTGTCGTTTGAGACGAGTCGGGAGACGAAGAGCTGTCCATCGATTTCTCGAAACTCATTGTCAAGCTCAACGCGGCCTTGAAGGCCAAGGCCCAACTTTATGGAGCGCGTGAGCGGGGGAAGGACGCTCGCCAGCCTCTTCATCATAAAAGAGCGCGGTGCACTGATATCCAATGTGATGATGCGTAATCTGGGAAGCTCCAGACGCAAACAACGTGCGAAACCAAGCCAGATTCCTCCGCTGATAAAATCGGAGCCAAAGGAGCTGCCACAGCCAACGAGCAGCACAGCGCGCGCATTGAGAATCGAGTGCTTAAACCTCTCCCATACAGATCCATCAAGATCCTTACACAAAGATCTGGCCACCTCTGGCAGCATGATAACAATATTGCCATGCGACGGGACATCTGAAAGACAGCGAATTGAGATTTGAGCATTGGAAAATTCCTCACTCACGGCAGTAGTCTTTAGGACTGCCTCATCGCCAAACTCGAGTGCGCTGAACTCGGTTGTAACCACGTCAATGGGGGGTAGCTCAGCTTCAGCCGAGTCCCATGGCGCACTGGCTATGAAGACACTCATTGTGCCGCCCTCCTCTTCTGGATAATCCTCGAACCACAGCTCTGCAGAAGAAAACTTGGCGTGCGTCAACCGCGTTATCCATTCTGAGCGTGGTATTAGAGGAGACAATTGACGACCTTCGTCGTAGCCTGCCCACCAGCCCTTGAAGACACCAAATAACAGATTATAATGCGGAGTCGGTACAGTCAGCTCCATCAGCATAAACTTGCCGCCCGGCTTCAGCAACTTCTTGATGTTTGCGAGGACCGAGTCGATACGTCGGGTCGCGTGAATGACGTTGCTCGCGATGACGAGATCATAGCCACCCTCTTGGAATCCCTGCTCCAGTGGACAGCGCTCTATATCCAGTATGTCGAATTTAACTGCGTCGGCAAAGCTACCAAGACGTTCTTTTGCTGGCTCAAAAAAGGCAGGAGACAGATCCGTGAAAGTGTAGCTATGAGCATTGGTACTGCCTCGACCGTTCAGAGCCTGAATGGCCGGCAACGTTGCCGATGCTGTACCTGCACCAACCTCGAGCACTCTGAGACCTGGCGTCTGCTGCCCCAGTGCATGGCAGTATTCCATCATCTGGGCCATGCACCGTTTACAGCGCTCAGTGGTGTATAGTTGTCCCAAAAGGCCATCTGGCGTTAGAAGAGCGAGGGGATCTGTCTTCTCGACGAGAATGTCTGCCAAGTGCGGTCCAAGTCTCTTGACGCCTTCAGAAAAGGCCCATATTCCAGGGCTGGCGGAGGCTTGTCGGAGAGACTGATTGTCAAGTGACGTATTTGCGTAGCTCTTCATCCACTCGAAAAAATGTCGACGGGGTCCGTCTGGGACACGGTCCGGATCTACCTCTTTGACTGCTCTTTGAATAAAGTGCAGAGTAAGAGCGTCGAGTCCACGGTTATCCTCTAGTGAGCTGGCAGGGGCGACGACAGATTTGCATATCCGATTGCGATGGTCAGGCGTCCAGGCGTCAACGTAAGTAACCCAGTCCTGGCTGTGGCAGATGTCGCCAATGACTTCGTTCAGGCCTGTATCTCCTGGGAGAGTTGCTGTGTGTACACCTTTGGCGGCGACAATGACTGCTTGACTGGGATTGCCACACCTTTCCTGAATGACAACATCATAGGTCGAGGTGTCTTGGCTGAGCTTGGACGTGCTCACGAGCTCACTGTTTGAATATGGCGCTCTGTTGAAGATCCGCATTTGCTCAATAAAATTGGGAACGAATGTCGACGTGGCACCTCGCTCAAGCACAAGAACTGCAGAAATTCCATGGAACAGACAAGAATCCAGCACGGTTGGGTGAAGGATATCTCCCATGCCTCCGACATCGACATCCGAAATGGTCTTGCGAGCGACCGCTACGACCGCGTCGCGACTAGTACGGATGCTCGAGACGTTGTCAAAGGGATGCTGCCAGTCAAGACCAATTTCGCGGCCCAGGTGATACAACTTTTGAGGAGTCACCTCATGGGTGCATGCTGCGCCAGCATCAACTGTGTCTTTGACATCCGCTGCTATGTCGTCGACGTCGGCGGCCTGTGTCTCGGCATGGACCAAGCCTCTGCAGTGCTCGGTCCAGACGCTTTCAGGTGTCACGGTAAAGATGCGAAACTCACTCCAGACGGTCGAGGAGCTTTTTGCCGTGTGGGATTCAGGGCGCAGGGTCAAGGTTATCTCGACATCCGGGCCATCGGCGGGCAGAACTAGGGCTCTGCTGATGCTGACGTTACGAAGCAAGAGGCTGTGTACTTTGACCAATGGACTGGTCGCGTGCATGTGCTGACGCATAGCCTGCACTGCCATTGTTATGAAGCCAGCCCCCGGAAACACAATCTGCCCTTGAACCAAGTGGTTCTTCAGCCAAGGAGTCTGTTTGAGGCTGATGAATTGGCGCCATCGCGGCTCTACACGGTTTGTATCGTGCGAGAAGTTGCCGAGAAGCTCGTGAGGCGCATGCTTGCGATGTCTGTAATCTTTGGAGATTCTTGTCTCGTGCCAGAAGCTGCGTTCATGGTCAAACGGATATGGAGGGAGGTCAACAAGTAGCATGGGCACGTCATTGTCACTGAGCCCATTGCTGGTATTCAGATCAACTGTCGCCGTGCAGACATGCAGGGCGCCCAGACATTCCAGCCACGATTGCTGCGCATCCTTGCCCTTCTTGAGAACACTTGTGTATGCAATCTTTGCATCGCTTGCCTTCAAGGCCTTGATCGTTTGCTTGACTGCTCCTCCAAGTTGGGAGTGTGGACCAACCTCTATAACCATGTCAAGTGCTTTGCCGTTGTACTTTTGCTCGCACATCTCACGAAGAGCCTGTGAGAAAAGAACTGGACTGAGCAGATTCGTAGCCCAGTACGCCCCGTCAAGCGGCGTCTCCTGGTTGTTTTCCTTTCCAGTGACACTGCTGAATATCCGCGGCGCGTAGATGGAAGTGGCTTTCTTGGGAGAGAGTTTCTTCTGTAGCGACAGTGTATATTCTTTGACCATGGCCTCCATTTGATGAGAATGGTAGGCGGCGCCATTTGTTGGAAGCATTCGATTGAATGTGCCTTCTGCAACGAGGAGCGCCCTCAATTCGTTGACAGCGGCGGAATCACCAGAAACGGTTACGCTATTGGGGCTGTTGAAGCAAGCAACTCTCATTCGTCCGTGAGTATCATCAATCTCAGTGATTCGTTGGCTCACCACGTCTGCATCTGCACCGACGGCAAGCATCGCGCCGTCACATTCCGGATTGCCGACAACCAGCGAGCTTGTCAGCGAACCGCGGTAATATGACGCGGTCATGGCATCCTCAAAAGATATGGCTTCAGCAGCATACGCCGCCGCAATCTCTCCACTAGAGTGTCCGACCACTGCACTGACGGAAATGTTGAGCTCAAACAGCAAATCAACCAAGGCAAGCTGTATCGCCGTTGTGAGCGGCTGCGACAGCGCAGGTTCGTTTATGCGCGTCGTCGCCTGAGGCTTGCAAAGCTCTTTTCGTAGGTTCCATCCGCTACCGAGTTCAAGAAGATGCTGACAAGCTTTGTCAATAGATTGAGAAAAGGTTGCAGAGCTAGACAACAGCTCGCGACCCATCTCGGCATACTGGGACCCTTGGCCACTGAAAACCAGACCGATGCGGGCATCGTGCTTTCTGTCTTGACGCGCAATCGGTGAAGAAGCTGCCAAGATGAGCTGCTCAATCAAGGCATCCATGTCTTGCGCGACTAGGGCCAGCCGGTATGGATGAATAGACTTCTTTCTAAGGGTAAATGCAAGTCGAGCCAGAACCTCTGACGTATCAGTCTTTTGCGAGGCTGCGCGTTTAGCGAGATACTTGGCCAATCCTGCACAGATCCTCTGGCATGCCTTTTCACTGGCTGCACTGATGAAAAAGATTCGTTGCGTGGAGTTGTGCCGCCCAAGACCGGACAGAGCACAGAATGCATCGGCAGCGGCGTCTACAACAACATGAGCATTGGTCCCGCCGTATCCGAAACTGAGAGGGTTTTTATTAGCACAATGATCTGTCAGGTTTCTGAAGCAAGGCCTGCTTGCAGATATTCACACACCTGTTGACTGATATTCTCCGCAGCGTCCGGCGTTCCAGCTGAGTTGGGACCTGCAATCAGGTCTGTCAGTACAGTTTCGGAAAGTGATTTCGGAAGTCTACTTACACGTAGGCCTCTTTCTTCTAGTCGAAGGTCGGAATTGGAGAATTCATAGTTTGCTTGCGGTGGTATAACGCCATGCTCCAGCATGAGCACAGCCTTGATCAACCCAGCTAACCCGGCAGCACTTTCAGTGTGCCCAATGTTCGCTTTTATAGATCCTATCGGGAGTAAAGTTCCGGGATCATTCCCACGTGCAAGTGCTGCGGCAATGGCGCCGGCTTCCTTGGGATCGCCAACCTTGGTCCCTGTGCCGTGCGCCTCTACATAGTCGGCGCGGAGGTCGAGCATGGCGTCTCGGTAAGCTTTCAGAATGGCTTCCTCTTGCGCTTTGGGGCAAGGAACTGTAATGCCCGCCGTCCGACCGTCCTGGTTCAAGACCGAGTTTCGAATCACGGCTCGGATCTGGTTGCCGTCGCGCAATGCAGCCGAGAGCGGTTTCAGCATGACGGCAGTGCATCCCTCACCTCTGCCGTATCCATTGGCGCGCGAGTCAAAAGCAAAAGACCGGCCTTCATTGGAAAACATTTTCAGCTTGCTTTGGTAAACGAAACGCTGGGGATCCAACATTAGGTTCACGCCGCCAACGAAACATTGCGAGGTCTCGCCGCTCCGCAGGCTTTGCACGGCTTGGTGCAGGGCAACGAGGCCGGAAGAGCAACCTGTATCTACAGTGAAGCTTGGCCCGTGCAAGTTGAAGAAGTAAGATATACGATTTGAGGAAATGGCCGGACCAGTGCCGGTAGTGAGGTACAGTGGCGGGGCATCAATGTCGCGTGTTTGTATCTCGTGATAATCGTTGGCCCATTGGCCCACGTAGACGCCAGTGTTTGAGCCCCATAGCGAGTCGATGCTAAAGCCTGCGTTCTCGAAGCATTCGTAGGCGATTTCGAGAAGTAGGCGGTGCTGAGGATCTATGGCCTGGTTTAAATTAGGCGAGTCCTTGGAAACTGCATGCAGGCCTGTGTGCAACCTCTAGGAGCAGAGTAGCTCACCTTTGCTTCCACCGCGTGGATGCCGAAAAAAGCAGCGTCAAATGCTGCCACGTCTTCTTTGAGGAAATGTCCACCACAGGTATTGGTCTTTGAGTAAAGTGCTGAGTTAGCTTGTGCATCCAGTGCAAGCAATCGATGTAGCCGGGGGGGGGGTCTTACCATGCCAAACTTGTCTGCAGATGGGTTTTGAAACGCCTTCATGTTGAAACGGTTACCAGGTCCTGGTGTCCATGCCGTTCGACCAGAAGTGAGCATTTCCCAAAGGCTACAAGGGTCTTGCGCACTTCCCGACAGTCGACAACTCATCCCAATGACTGCAATGGGTTCGGGAGGTGTGCTGCTCAGTTCGGAGCATGTTGCGCCACACTCCATCTCCTCCCATGATGATGGGGAGTTGTCCGTGTCTGGCATTTTTGCAGTTTCTCAAAGTAAACTTGCAGTGAAAGTAGGTATAATGTTACAATTCGCTCAGTCTATGTGGGCGAGATGTGATGTACATTCATTTTACCGTGTAAGTAAAATCGAGAAGCGAGCTGTTTAGATAGTCTTCCTTTGAGAAAAACGTTTCTTTAATTAGTCATGGATACGACTGAAGCACACATACCAGACATATGTTTGTCTTGGATCTGAAAATGCACAACAGACCTTCGGGACGCATTGCTCCGTCAACTCACCTGTTTCGGTAAAAGTCTAGATTCCGGTACTCGCTGCACAATGGAGCGGAGCAACAATGCATGACACGCATGATATTGAGACATGATGCCACCTTTGAGCGGGACGCAGCCACCGAGCCTCGTACCATCATGGGTTGGAGGCAGCTGCAGGTGACTGGGGCAAATGGAAATATGATGAGAGAATGACAGGAAATGACGATGATTGTCGTCCATATTGGAAGAATCAAACGCAAAAAAGACTCGTAGAAAACTTTCATCAACTCCTCTTTGATGGCTGACAATAGTTCAATTTGCTTGGGTCTCTGGCGACGAGGGAGGTTGATGAATGACAAGATGACGACTAATAGTTTACAGCTACGACACGACAGTGGATTAATCCACAAAATTAATGTATCAAGAATATGCTGGGTACGGTACAATTTCTAGGTTAATCTATCGCGGCAACATGGGGCGGGTAAACTTTGTATAAAGTGAAGAAATAATGTACTGAGTGAGGTAGATGCTTGCTGACCGAGGTTAGCCTTATCCCCCAAGTAACGGCTGTCTTTTCGGGTTTGGGGGTCAAGGACGGCGGCGTAGTGTGCTAGCGAGAGATCAACCGAGTTTGTTACTTTTTGGGCGTGAAAGCGAGCACATGTAAAAGTCACAGTATATCCGTACTCTGTGTGGGTGTTGAACAAGGTTATGTCAAGATGGTATACCACAAGGATGCCCTGCTCGTGGCTGACAGCGGGATCCTGGGTAGGTTTCATTATCACGTTGGCTTACGGGGATCAGTGGACCTTTGTTAACCGCCTCCCAGACTCGTTGCTTTGTCTGTCGGAAACGAGATCCGGCCCGCATGACTGATACCACGCCCCGGAGTAGATGTAGTGGCCTGACATACCTTTTGGCAACTGGCATCGCTTATTCGCTTTTCATGTTGAAATTAATTAAGGGGGCTTTATGGATTTAGCTGGGCGTTTTTCTGCTCACCCAAAAAAGCCACTTGAGCGGTTTTGGACCTGCAGGTCTCGTCGTCGCCGCTCTCAGCTCCCTTTGCGGCCTCGGTCAACGTCGGCCTTGGGCTCACTTACAACGGCACGTCGTACGAGGTCAGTATCGCGCGGCTCTTCTGTTATAGGGTACTTTTAGCCTTTTCATTCAGCCTTTATTCAGCCTTTCTCAGCCTTTCTCAGCCTTTCATTCAGCCTTTCCTTACGTTGATAGTCCCCCTCAACATATTCTGTCCAAGGTACCTTTTCTCGGGCTCATTGTGTGACATTTGACAACTTACCATGGAATCTACGTCTGTGAAGCTGAGCGTTCCTCTTGGGGAGGAAGTCATTCAACTGTCTACCCTGGACCAACAAGCACAACGAGCCTATGCCAATCTTGTGCTCGTTTTCAAACTGAGCCAAAACGCCAGTGTCCAAGATGTCCTGCAAGGCTTGAAACTTGGTTTGGGAGCTGCATTGACCGAGTTGCCGGACTTTGCTTCCCTCGTTGTACCGTTACCAGGTTCAAAGAGAAATGAGCTGCAACTTCAACTTGGGCCTGACTCTGCCGTGCCACTCAAGATTGTCGAGCATGCTGTCTTGGTCAACTACGCTGAGAACCACTCGGCCATGCGACAAAACGGTTGTACATCTGATTTAGCCAGAGATGAGTTTTCTTTGGCAAGCGTTCCCACGGAAGCGTTGTTCATCCAGCAACCTGCTGCTGAGTTGGCCTGTGCGAAAGAGCTCCCAGCCCTTGTTGCGCAAGCCAACGTGGTTAATGGAGGGCTCATACTGGGTCTCTCCTGGCACCACACTGTCAGCGATGCGAGGGGGATAAACACGCTGCTGTCGTCGTGGGCTCGGTACACCAAGATGTGGGCGACTCAGGGGACGATTGGCTCAGCTACCGCGGCACCAGAGCCGACCAGAGACCGCTGGCGACTGATTGGCGGTCCGCGCAATGTCAGTGTCGACCAGTTCAGCGACTACCAGATCAACTCGGCTGTACGGGCTCCTTTGTCACCCACCGCAGTCCATCTCTTGGACCGACCAAACACCACAACCGCCGCGGCCAAGCTCAGCACCTGGTATTTTGGCAAAAAAGCACTGCAGGCTCTAACCACTGCCCTGGGAAGCGTTGTTGCCGATGGGAGTGACGCTGTGCATTTTACCAACAGCGAAGCTGTCTCGGCTCTCGTCTGGAAGCACTTGAGTCTGGCTCGGCTTTTGCACCAGGCGCAGGAGCAGGAGCAGGAGCAGGCGCACGACACGTCGCTCTTTTCAACGCGAATCGACTATCGCGGGCGTGTGAAGCCAGCCTTTTCCGGCGCATACATTGGCAACATTAACGAGCCAAACGCGCGGGCTCGCATGCGCCTTGTCGACGTCTGCGCGCCTTCTAGCCCCGAGTCGCTGGCCATGCTGGCCATCAAGATTCGCGAAGCGGTCGCATCCATGGATGGAAAGGCAATGCGCGAGTTTGTGGGACTGATTGAAGGGTTACCGGCTGTTACTGATTTGGCATGGGATTTCGATACCCTTCCCGGCCCTGATCTAGTCGTGACAGACATGTCTGGACTGGACACGCTTCAACAAGACTGGGGCGGTGCCCTGGGCCGACCGATTTGCATTCGCTCCGGTTCACGCGAAAAGGGCGTTGCCTATTTCCTCCCGCAGGATACAGAGGGGGGTTTCGAAGTACAGTTGCAGTGCACAGATGATGCTCTTGCTAGACTCCAAAGTGACAGCCTATTTACTGAATATGCCGAATTCCGCTGCTGAACCCTAGATACCTATGGCTGGCTCATGATTAGTAAATAGCAGACCATAGGAATAATAGTATTGTTATTTAGTACCTCGTATTTGGTGGAGCTACCCTGCGAGTTCCAAGTACCAACCAAGGTCGTGCCCCGAACAAAAAACTCCTATGAGAATAGCACTGTTTTTTTTCTTCTTTTGATAAGCTTTCTCCAACGATCATTCTGCGTTGATGATTGTTGAAAAAAAAAAACAAAAAAAACAAAAAAAAAAAACAAAAGCCGCTACTAAATTGGGTTGGCCACAGCTGCGAGGACTAAGAACAGACACTAAGCAAAGAGTAGGTATGGTTTAACTACTCATTCATTGTACTTGTCCTTGACCAGTACTGAGCAAGGTAGTGAATTAGAGTATCCATAGCACTGTAATTAGCAGTGTTTAGTGAGTCAAGACATTATTCAGGGTCGAAGCTGGCTTATATCATTAAAATGTAGATTTTGACACCGTAATTAGAGCAAATCTGTCTATTCTTAATCCTATACTTTTTATAACAAGAAAAACAGTTTCTCAGACTGATGCCACTTGAGCCCTCAACAACTTTTTTAAAATCTTCCCGCTCTGGCTTTTGGGAATCTCCGCAACAAGTTCAATTCTATCGCCCAACCAGTGAGTCTCGTGAAGTTTACTTTCCACATGTTCATTGATACTCTCTTGTAAATCATCTGCAGACAAATCGGTCATGACAGATGCTGAGCGTACCACAAACGCCATGGCTCGCTCTCCCGCAAGCTCGTCGGGAACACCAATCACGGCCACGTCCGCGACAGCGGGATGCGTCATCAGCACCGTCTCAACGTCGGCTGGAATAACTTGCATACCCTAGAGTCATCGTTGGTCAGCGCCAACTCGGGAGCTTCTTTAATGTGGTGCCACTCACCTTGACCTTGATCATATCCTTGATTCGATCTCGAATGAAGAGGTGTTCTAGGCCGTTGGGGCTGACTTGAATGGCTCCCATGTCCCCAGTACGAAGCCAGCCATCGTCGTCAAAAGCCTCGTCAGTCGACTCTTGGTCTCCCAAGTACCCAAGAAACATGTTTGGAGCTTTGTAATACACTTCTCCGCTTTCATCATAGGTTTCTACATCTTTTCCATTGGCATCGACCAGTCGCAACAAACATCCCGGCAGCAAAGATCCGCTCGATCCGTACCAGACGTCGTGCATACTACTCAGAGTAACGACAATGGAAGTTTCGGTGAGACCTATGCGATGGTGTACTTGTCAGCTTTTTTTTCTAAACTACACATGATAACAAAGTAAAAGGTAGAAATCAGTTACTGTACCCCAGGCGTGAAGAAACTCCCAACGTGGCTGGAGCAGCTTTAGCCTGCCGGCTACGGTCGGATCCAGCGCCGCTGCACCGGTCACTACCGAGGAAACAGACGAAAGGTCAAAGGGCTCCATAAGGAAAGAATTTGCAACGAGAGCGGCTAGAATAGGTGGCACCTAGAGAGGAGAAGTAAAAAGGGTTAGTCTTGCAGCTCCGTTGGTGGAACTATGGGATGCAGAGCGTAGGAAACACTTACCAAGTATAGCCTATTGACTTGATGGGTCGCTACAGAGCCAAGCATGAGTTGCATGTCGAAGCGAGGAAACACAATGTGTTGTTCAGCACGTAAAACACCGAGATGGCCGATGAGAATCCCATAACTATGACTGAAGGGAATGGCGGCTGCTACGGTCTGGCCGCAGCTGTCGTTAGCAAAGCCTTCGAACGCCACCATTTGAAGGAGATTGGTGATGAGGCCGTAGTGGGTTAGCATAGCAAGTTTCTTTTCGTCGCTCGTTAGCACATATCAGGTCGTTGCATTTTCATCCAGCAGGAACAGGGTAACAATACCTGTCGTCCAGAGGTACCACTAGTAGAGCACAGAAATGCTACCTGGGATTTGCCCTGTCCAGCTGGCCATCTCAGCGGCTCTAGATGGGGAAGCTGTGAGCCTTGGTCTATCAAATCTTCCAATGATTTGAGGCGAGTAGAATGAACAAGGTCCGACTCATCCGTGTAAGTGCTGGGCAGTGTCAGTCTATAGACCCTCTCTGTTGGTATATGCAACTCTGTGGCTGCTTCCAAGCAAGCGGACACAAGACCCGAGCAAGTAAAAATTGTCGTGCAACGTGCAGTGGTCATATGGATTTTTATCTCCTCTGGAGTGCAAGTCGAATGGAGAGGCATACATATGCCGTTCAGCCGATGGATGGCCCAGCAAAGTAAGAAGTAATCAGTCTAGTACATGAGGTGTCAGCTAGTGTTCAAGTACAACTTAGTCTCAGAGAGTATAGCAGCGCAATTGAAAAAGACAAATGTGATACCCGCAACACAACTCACAGTGTTTAGAGAATAGATGGCAACCACCTTGTCCCAGGGTGATCCGACATTTGGAGACCAGTCGAGATCCTTGGCCAGCCCTCGCGCAAGAGAGTCAACTCTGGGCTTTAGCATCTCCATGGTGTAGACATGACCGGATATGGCGTCTACAAAGGGCGCGTCCTTTTTCGGCGTGACATGGTTCGAGAGAACAAAGTCCCCGACGGTAGTCTGATCGGGCGCGCTCTGGTCCAAAGACGGCACCCATGCTGGCGATGAGAAGACCATTCTGTTGGGCTCAAGTCTGACTCTATGCTAGATGGCAATAGAAACTCGGCTTGATACAAAAGTCGAGTCGAATACTGAAAAGAGAAAACAGCAGCTGATGAGCATGAGAGTAACAAAAAAAAAGGCTGTTGTGTAAACCGGAATATGTCTCCGCGCCGGCAGACTATGCCATCCAGCATAACTCGCATAATCAGATAGACCTCGTATCAGCATTCAAGCCTCTCATCCTGCAACCTGCAACCTGCAGCCTGGAAGTGTGTCATCAACTGGGAATGCATGTCTCGGCTACATATCCGCTGCTGCAATACCGCCTAAGCATATCTCCACAATCAACCGAAATACATTACCAGCCAACCGGCGTAACCAGCATAAGCAGAGAGATGGGCAATAAATAAATTCCTTGCATCCGCGACCTGCAACCTAGTTTTTGTGTCATGAGCTAGAAATGCATGTCTCATCCATATGCTCAGGTCAAGTCAGCTTTCGTCAAGCCATGAGGCTACTTCAAAGCCGCCCGAGTACTCCGTACAGCATGAGGCGATTGGGTGACAAGATGAGACCAAGAAACGTGGCTAACCAATGTCTCACCCTGATGCAGTGAAAGATGGTGCACATAACGGCCTGACAGCTCGACTCGACCCCAGGGGTGTAGATATACGGCGATCCGCACAATACTCAATCGCTGCGGGTTAGTGGGGTGATGCCGGGGCTCCGCGCTGACAGTGTGGTCGAAATGAAAAGGAAAAAAATGGCAACACAATAAACTGCTTGAAGCTGCATAGCTCATGTCATTACACGTCATTGCAGCGTGTTGGAGGCTGACGAGGTGCCACTCAAGTCAAGTGCAGCTCATACAACCCATCTAGACCCCCCCCGGCTTTGAGGCTCGCTTCAGGGTGGTGTACTTTGTAAAGTTGTGCAGCTGGCTGAAATTCTCTTCCAGTCTATCGGTTCCGGTGGATCAGGTATGGTAATGGCAATGATATGAGAGGGAAATGACGCCCGAGGACAAAGCTGCCAAAGCGGGCTATTGTCTCGGGAAAATTCTCCCTTTCTATGGCGAATATTGGAGTTTTTTTACGCGCGGTATTCTGTTACCGCATGCATGTAGCATAAGCTCTAGGTAATTAAGCAACACTTTGTCTATATGTAAAACAGAGGCAAATCACATGGGAGAGATTTACATGAACAATTCAAGAGAATTGGAATGACCGTTGGTCAAAGACTCCACGGCAAGCGACGAGGAACTTTACTTTGTTGACAAGACACGAAGAAAAAAAAAAGCCCAAAAAGAGAACAATTACAGAAAAGACGCTTACACACTGGGCACGCTTCTTCAGCAAGCTGACTCTTTTCTTGACAATCTACACGACACAATCTCTACCTTTGAATACAACGTCACTTTCAACCTACCTGATGCATCTCCCAAACTCAGGGGACATGTCAGTCCCGACACAGACTTGTGCGCCAACCCAGAGCGCCATGCAACAGGAATTCGGGGAAATCTGTGCCCAAGTGCTACTCCGACCCATTGCGCGCATGAAAATGGGCAAGTCCTTTGTTGCTCAAGGCGGCGACTCTCTGCTCGCAATTAAACTCATGTCACGCTGTCGCGAGGCTGGCTATGATGTCAGCATCGCCGAAATACTTGGTGCTACTAGCCTTGATGAGCTCGCAAGGATTGCTGCGTCGCAGAAGATGCCCTCAGCCGGGGAAGCTTTGACGACACCCGACGCCAAAGCAGCGACCGAGCCATTCGAGAAGCCTGTGTCACTGCTAAAGGATGACGTCGTGTTGGATCAGATCAAAAGCATCATGGAAGAGCCATTGGAAGTCATTCAAGACATCTGGCCGTGCTCTCGAACACAAGAAGTCTTTCTCATCTCCCAACAAGCCAACCCGGAAATGTATCAGTGTGCTGTGGTCGCCGAGATTAAATCTACAGAAACTGGTACCCCGCTAGATTATGGCCGTCTTATTGATGCCTGGAATCGCATTGTGGAACAGTACGCGGCACTGCGAACCCTTTTTGTTGAGAGTAGTCAAAGGCCCGGCCATTTCGACCAAGTCATCATGAGACACGAGGCTGTACCATTGAAGTGCCACCTGAGTAGTGACGGATATGAAGAGTCTGCCAAGGAAATGATTTCGCGCCGTTCTGTCGGGTCGATGAAGAAGGGAACTACAGGTCGAGCGACAATTTGGAAACGCTCAGAAACTTGTGCCGTCTTCAGATTAGACGTCTCTCATGCGCTGATGGACGGTCAGTCCTTTGGCATCCTCTTTCGCGACTTTGCCAAGGCCTATTGTCAGAATGAGTTGCCCGCCTTCACAGAGTTTCCATATCACAAGTTTGCCACCTACCAAGAGCAACTAAATCGCGAAACTATTCACGCCTATTGGACCAACTATCTCACCGGCGCGCAGCCAACACTGTTCCCCACCAACGGCAACCGGGATTTTGAGGACTTGAAGACGCTGAGGTTTCGCTTTGATCTGGGCGCGGCTGCAGTGCACAAGATTTGCGTCGAATACAATGCCACAGCAGCCAATCTTTGTCAAGTAGCCTGGGCGCTCGTGCTTGGTTCTTACGCGGGGTCGGACGATGTCTGCTTTTCATACGTCAACTCTGGCCGCCACGCTCCCCTGAGAGGCATTGAGGATGCAGTCGGCGCCTTTGTGGACGTCATGGTCTGCCGAGTAAGGCTCTCTGGGACAGCGACGGTGTCTCAAACACTGTCCAGGGCAAAGCATGATGTCATTGAAGGCTTGTCTCGCCCAGGCTCGCTCATCTTTGAAGACGAAAAGCAAGGCCAGAAGATTTCGGAGCTCAGAGGCAACACCATCATGACCTTTCAGATGGGAGTAGAATACGAAAGCTTGGCAAGATTGGGTCTCGAAATTGTAATGCTCGATGAAATCACTGCTTCCGAGGTACGTGAGCCAACAGCCGTGAAAGCTTCAACACCCACCCACCGTGGACCAAGTTCCTATAAAAGCTGACAATAAAACAGTATGATATTTCGCTCAACATTCAGCCTTGTCAAGGAGGTCTCGAAATTCAACTCGACTATTGGCTCTCACGAGTAGACCAGCACATTATTGAAAGTGTCGCTGAGAGCTTCCAAACGGCACTAGCATGTCTGGTCACCGAGAATAATGCGCCGTTGCGAGGTGTCGATGTTGTTTCTGCAAGGCTAATCGAACAGATGCGCAAGCGAAACATGTACAACTCGACTGAAACGGGCAATCTTTTACATGATTTGGTTGATACGCAAGCTGACCTTGGACCTGATGCCTTGGCTGTGTCGGGTTGGGACGGGGAACTTACCTATCGACATCTCAGCGAGAAAGCCAACAAGCTGGCCTCGTACCTTCAGAAACTGGGTGCTCAGCCAGAGATGATGATCTGTATGTGTTTTGAAAAGTCCAAGTGGGCAGCCATTTCGCAGCTAGCAATCCTCAAATCGGGCGCTGCGGTGGTTCCCCTCGGTACTACTCAGCCGATGAAGCGCCTGGAGACGATGATTGGAGACACAGATGCAGACATCATTCTAACCACGAGCAACTTTGCCGGTCGGTTTGCCGCCATGTTTCAACATGTTGTCGTGATTGATGATGCACTCATGGCGAAGCTCCCGCCTTCCGCGCCAAGTCCCTGCTCAGCGACCCCAGCCAGCCTCGCTTTCGTTGTCTACACCTCTGGTAGCACCGGCGTGCCCAAAGGTGTTATGATTACACACGAGAGTATGTGTATCAGCCTTAGAAATTCCGTGGAGAGGATCAATATTGGCCCAGATACCCGCATGCTTCAGTTTTCGGCATACACGTTCGATGCAGCCATCTTTGATTTCTTTGCCAACTGGATCACTGGCGCCTGCGCGTGTATTGTGTCTGAATACGATCGATTAAACAGACTCGTGCCCGCCATGTGCGAGCTCAACGTGAATTGGGCCTGCTTAACACCAACAATGGCGGAGATAGTTTCGCCAGAAGAGGTACCCTTGCTAAAGCATCTAGTCTTGATTGGTGAAGCAGTCAAGCCTGGTGTTGTTTCCCGATGGATTGATCACGTAGAGCTTTGGAATGGCTACGGACCGACCGAATGCTCCATCATCTCTAGCTGCAAGCTGCTCACACGGGGGTGCAACACGCTGAATCTCGGCTTACCCATCACGGGTGCGTTTTGGGTTGTTGACGCCACCAACACAGATCGTCTTGTGCCCACAGGCGCAATCGGAGAGCTACTTATCCAAGGCCCTCACCTGGCCCGGGGCTATCTCAACGATCAAGACAAAACCTCACTTGCATTCATCACTGAGCCAGCGTGGGAATCCAAGTATGCATTTCCCACTTCGACTCGCTATTATCGCACAGGTGACTTGGTCCAGCAAGATCCTGACGGGAGTGTCATTTTCGTGGGGCGACGGGATACACAGGTCAAGCTGAGAGGCCAGCGCGTCGACTTTGCCGAAATTGAACAACATCTAATGGACCATGATTCTGTGGTTGATGCTGCAATCGTACTAGCTGCTAGTGGGCCATGCAAAGGCCAACTTGTTGCGCTGGTTACTCTTGAAGGCTTCATATCGCGACAGTTGCCTCCAGCGACGCTGATACCTATCGACCAAAAGGTTATGGCGCGAGCCAAACTTCAAACGAACATCTTGAGCGACTGGCTCTTGGACAGAGTTCCAGAATACATGGTACCAACAACTTGGATACCAGTCACCAGCAGATTATTACAAACCGAATCTGGCAAACTGGATCGTGTCGGGTTAGGGCGTTGTGTCAATGCGGTAGATGCGAATTGGCTCCAAGAGTTTGAATCTGTTGGAGAGGAACACGCCCAGGAACTTGGTGCAACGCCCCTTCAGTTGCGAATCAGAGACATGTGGGCTGAAATTCTTCTTTTACCTATTATTCGAGTTCCAATCGACCGTCGATCGTTTCTGAGCCTAGGTGGCGACTCCATCACGGCAATGAAGGCGGTTTCCCAAGCCCGGAAACAGGGCATCACGCTGACTGTTCCTGACATTCTGCAAAGCAAGTCAATAGCCAAGTTGACTGAAAAGCTTGAGTCTACCCAAGGGTACATGTTTGATACTACAGTTGCATGCAAGCTGTTTCCACTATCGCCAGCTCAACAATGGTACTTTGACTGGGTCTACCCTATTGGCTCCGGGTCTACTCCTGGAAGCCCCCTTTGCTACACTCGAAGCATATGTCTACAGGTCAATGAGCAATTCGACGAAAAGAATGTTGCTACTTCTGTATCTACCCTTGTTTCCATGCATCCAATGTTGCGCGCGCGTTTCTTGGTCGACACTGCCAACGCGTGGCAGCAGCAAGTCGCTGCGCACCATGATGATGCATACGGATTCAAGGTGAGCCACATACAAAGCCTTGATGAGGTCAATGACTTGGCAGAATCTACAGAGCAAGAAATTTGTATTGAAAATGGACCTGTATTTTCTGTTCATTTGATGCAGCTCGAGGCAGACGAAGAAAGTAAGCAGCTGTTGTTCATAACGGGACATCAGCTCGTCATGGACGAGACATCTACCTCCATCATTGTTACAGATCTGGAAAAGCTACTGCGGCAAGATCACTCCACCGTTTCGTCGGTTGAGCTTCCTTCCTTCCAGGCATGGATTCTAGGTATGTCGGAATTACATAACGAAGCAGCTGAGCCTGCTTCGGTACGTCAAATACCTCATGTCAAGTCTCTGGTATCCACGCCTAGTCTCGAAAGCTGTGGCTTGACAGGTACCGAGTCAGCCAGCGAGGTCATTGTGTTTGAGGAGACCGACACCCAACTGCTTCTCAGCGATGCCAATCGAGCCTTGCGAACAGAGCCAGTCGAGCTGATTCTTGCTGCTTTGACAACGTCATTTACCACCGCCTTTTCAAGTCAGTTTGTTCCCGCACTTTTCGAAAACTGCCAGGGAAGAAAGTTGTTTCGCGGTAGCATGGACAATTCCAGGACAGTGGGCTGCTTTAGCACGGTGATGCCACTTCGTCTCCCTGCTGCTAACATTGACAACGCTGTTGAGATTCTAAAGGAGACCAAGGATGCTAGAAGAAACCTTGGACTTGGCTTGCACAACCGGTACAACAACGATTCAAAAAGTGCTGATGAAACACCAGCCGTGACTCGTGACACGATAAAGGTATTCTTCAGTTTTGATGACTCGGCTCATCAAATACAACAACAAAGCACACTGTTCAGCCAGCAGACCTTGACAGAACTCAAACAGTCGTCATCAAGGGCCAAGATTGGACGGAAATTCGCAATTGATGTTGATGCCACAATATTGCAGGACAAGCTCCATGTCAGATTTAATTTCGACCGCAGCAAGGAATATGGAATAGACGCTGGACGCTGGCCTCGCCACTTTCATGAATCCATGCGAGCTTTGTTCACAGATTTGGAAAAAACACAATCCATGTTCACGTTGAGCGACTTTCCGCTCATTGAATCGACATGCCAGAGGCCGAAAACTCTCCAAGATCAAGTTTTGCCCAGCCTCGGGCTACAGCCAGAGAATGTCGAGGACATGTATCCCTGTACGCCCATGCAAAACGGCATATTGATGAGTCAGGCGCGATCGCCATGGATGTACCAAACTCATATGCTGTGGCAATTGCAATCTCCAGACAAGCACAAATCTCTGCGTGTGGAGCGAATCATGCAGGCGTACCAGACCTTGACGAATCGACATGCCATGTTGAGAACAGTCTTTGTGCCGCGAACCTCGAATGCCGGAAATGGTGCCTTTGATCAAATCGTCATCAAACAGTATACCGCCAATGTAGAGCACAACATCTGCCAGGAAGATGACCCCTCGGCTCTGTTGGCCACAATGACCAACTCTTTGGCAATTGACTACGGACGCAGTCCCAACCACAAGTTTAGAGTGTATTCAACCCCGTCTGGTCTCGTCTATGGCCATCTTGTCATGAATCACGCGCTTTATGATGGGTTCTCGCTCGCTTTGATGGAAAAGGAGCTCACTGATGCCTACGAGGAGAGACTCACGTCCGACAGTGCAGCGCCTCCATACAGCGCATATCTGTCGTTTCTCAAGCAAAGTGGAACAGAGGAAGATTTACAATACTGGCTTGGGTGTTTGGCAGAAGCTGAGGGCTGTTTTCTCCCTGCATCGAGCGATAATGAATCGCAAAGAAAAGGCAAGATTGAAGTTGCCAGCCCTCCTGCGCCTGCACGCAGACAACTTGTCACAGCGAGCCTTGAAAATGCAGAGTCTCTCCGAAAGTTCAGCGAGAGGCATTCAGTAACCACTGCAAACGTCTTCCAGCTCGCCTGGGCTCTGGTCTTGTCCAAATTTGTCAGATCTGACGATATCTTGTTTGGCTATGTGTCCAGCGGCAGGGATGTGCCTGTACATGAGGCACACCACATCTTTGGTCCATTCGTCAATATTTTGGTGAGCCGGATCAAACTTGACATGGACTTGAGTGTTTCGGAAAATCTGCAAAGAGTTCAGAAACGTTTCTTTGAGAATCTCAGCCACCAGCGTACTCCGCTGGTTGACATCTGGCACGCACTCAAGACTGGGGGCCGTGGTTTGTTCAACACAACTCTCTCCTACAGGCAGCTTGATTCCGCCGGCGACAAAGGACTTGGCCTCATTCAAAATACTGTTGCACTTTTGGGTGATAGTGAATACGATGCAGGTGTCGACATTGTGGCATCCCACAACAGTGTTTCGGTGAGTTTGGATTATTTGCCTTGCTTCATGGATCGCGGTGCAGCAACGCGTCTTGTCGATTGCTTGTTACAGACGGTCCATTCTCTGGCACAAAGCGAAAGCTCATCGCTTCGTAACGTGGCAACAACAACAGATCAGGATATCCATCAGATCTGTCAATGGAATAGTAGCAATCCTTTATCCGCGCCGCAACTTTTGATCCACGACACTGTTTACTCTCAGTGCTGTCAAGATCCAATGGCCAAGGCCATCTGCGCATGGGATGGCGACTTGACGTACTCTGAGCTGGATCAGCTTGGTGAGCAGCTCGCTTTCTACCTGACGTCGAGTCTGGATGTCATGCCTGAGACCGCGATTGGCGTCTGTTTCGACAAGTCAAAATGGGCAATTGTTGCACAACTGGCTATCCTCAAGTCCGGTGCAGCAATCGTACCAATTAGCCCAAACGATCCAATGCAGCGCCTAGAAACAATCCTGCAAGAGGGTGGAGTTTGTACACTTCTCACCACAAGTCTTTACACTGACCGATTTCTTGACATTATCCCAAACGTCATTCCTGTTGACTCGAATTCGCCATTCTTTCACAATGGAACGCTGAATAGGCGAGTAGCCTCCAATGTCGAGCCAGAGAATGCCGCGGTCGTCATACATACCTCTGGTAGTACCGGGAATCCAAAGGGTGTCGTACTGACCCATGGCTCAATCTCATCGAGCCTTTCAGCACAAGGCAAGATGTTTGGGCTGGGTTCTCAAACTAGAACCCTTCAATTTGTGTCTTACACTTTTGATCCGAGCATTACCGACATTTGGGGTACCTTGAGCCATGGAGGATGCGTGTGCGTCATGTCAGAAGACGAAAGAATGAACGACCTCCAAGGCGCCATCCAGTCCTACAGCGCGAATCTTGTCATCATGACGCCTACGGTAGCAACTTTATTGAATGTTTCCGAGCTTCCATCACTGGAGACGCTTGTACTTGGTGGAGAGTCTTTGAAGCCATCCTTGATCGAAAAACACCTCAAAGCACGACAAATCAAAATCTTCAATGCCTATGGTCCATCAGAGTGTTCGATAATTACTACCTGCAACGGGCCCATTCAGCACAAAAGCGAAGCACCTAATATTGGGCGCCCACTGCTCGGAAGCGTCTGGCTTATTGACGATACGGACAATATCTGCCCTATCGGTGCTGTCGGGGAGATTTGGGTTGAAGGGCCGTTACTAGCCCGTGACTATCTCAACAAGAAACATCTGACCGAAAAAGCATTTCCCATTAATCCACCCTGGGCGGGTCGCGTTGGACTGCAGGGCAAACGATTTTATCGAACCGGTGATTTGGCGCGGCAAGATGCCAACGGGAATATCTTTTACGTTGGAAGGAAGGATTGGCAAATCAAGATTCGCGGCAATCGAGTCGAGCTAGCCGAAGTTGAGCATGCCATTAAAGAAGTCTTGAGTGGGTTACAGAATGTCGTGGCATGCTTCATCTCTCCCAAACAAGGCTTCCACGGGCCTCTTATTGCTGCGATATTGGAGCAAAATCGCGATTCACTAGACCTTCAAGCCAATGTGGCAGGCTCAGGCTCAGACTTCCAGAGGATTTCAGCAGGATTTCAGAAGGAGTTGATTTACTTGAAAAGGGCTCTTTCGAATGTCTTGCCGTCGCACATGATACCGAGTCTGTATGTCCCGATAACACGGCTCCCATTGACAGCTTCGGTTAAAGTCAATCGGCAACTCCTTTGCCAGACCCTTGAAGGCTTTTCGGAACAAGAACTCTTGCACTACAGTCTTGCGGATATTGCCAAGATATCTCCAAAGTCTGAGACTGAAAAGAAGCTTCGCGCTCTTTGGGCAAAGGTTCTCCAGCATCAACATGATCAGGTGGGAGTAGAGGACAACTTCTTCCAACTGGGTGGCGACTCGTACCTAGCCATGCATCTTGTTGCCTTGACCCAGACTGATGATTCAAATCTTCACTTTACCGTGTCTGATGTACTTCAGCACCCGACCATCAGAGAGTTGGCGCAAGCCGTCGAGAAACGCAGGACAATTACTCAACAATCCGACACGGGAATGGCGCCATTTGCCTTGTGGAAAGAGTACCGAGAGCTAGATGATGGAAAGAGTAAATCTGATTCTTTGCAAGATTTACTTTGTCAATTAGCCACGCAATGCAATGTACCGACCCACGACATCGAGGACGTCTATCCATGTACCCCGCTACAAGAGGGACTCATGGCGGCTACGGCTCAGCAGCCGCGGGCCTACATTGCACGCTGGGCGTTCCAGATGCCACAAGATCTGAGCCTTGAACGTTTCCAAGATGCATGGAAGATTCTCATCAGAGCGGTGCCCATACTTCGGACTCGTATTGTGCCCGGACGCTTGTCAGGAGCATTGCAAGTAGTTGTTCGCAGCACTTGTCAGTGGCACACAAGCTATGGCCTTGACCAATACCTGGATAACGATGTTGCACAATCCATGACATACGGTACGCCCCTAGTCCGTTTGGCTTACATCAAAGGCAGTCATGGGCGGCGAGACTTTGTCTGGACAGCTCACCACAGCGTATATGATGGATGGAGCTTGCCAATGCTTTTCGAGGCTCTCTCGCGTATTTACTTGTCGAATGAGGTCCCTGCATCGCTTACTCCATATTCCAAGTTTATTCAGTACATAGAATCACAGGACCCAGCAGCAACAGCAGCCTTTTGGCGATCGGAGCTGGAGGGAGACTTGGGCATGCCTTTTCCCACGCTGCCCAGCCCATCGTACCAGCCGGATCCCGCGCAAAGCATCCGTTGCAATTTCAGCGTAAAGCCCTTCAAGCAATCGTTTACCTTGGCTTTGATACTACGCGCGGCATGGGCGGCTACCGTTTCTTCCAATACTGGCGGTACAGTTCTTCTGGCGATGCCACTTTCGGGACGAAACGCACCAGTCAACGGGATACTGGACATGATGGCACCTACCGTCACAACAGTGCCAGTTCGAATTCAGGTGGATGATAAGCAAGCTGTTCAGGACTATCTAGCTGCCGTGCAACAGCAAGCTGCCAACATGGTACCTTTGGAACACTCTGGTCTTCAACGCATTCGTTCTATGGTCGGACGGGACATTAATCCGCAGCATCTCTTCGCCATACAGTCCTTTCGGGCCATGGGCAAGACGACATTCGACGGCCTACTTGGTATGAAACAGATCACGCTGCCCATGAACGGATTCGACAACTACGCCCTGATTGTTGAGTGCTGTACCGATTCGCAAGATGGAGCAACCGTCGAGATCCTGGCTCGGTTTGACGACAAGGTGCTTTCCCGCACCCAGATTCAGCATCTTCTCAACCGTTTTAGGCATGTATTTGAACAATTGAGCCAAATCTCTACCGAAACCTGCGAGAAGAGCGCCACCAAGCAAATGAGCTGCATTGAATACATTAGCCCAGAGGAAGTTGCCCAATTGGCCACATTGAATCGCGAAATTACTGGAGACGCACCTTGCCTTGTACATGAACTGATACTGTGCCACTCAGCTACCACACCTGAGAGGACTGCTATTTGCGCATGGGATGGCGAGCTCTCTTTCCGGCAGCTGGATCAATTGTCCGAGGCGCTGGCAAACCATCTAAACGAGCTCGGTGTCGGACTTGAGTCACCGGTACTTCTTTGCTGTGACAAGTCCAAGTGGGCTGTTGTTGGTATCATGGCCGTACTGAGAACAGGTGGTTGCGCAGTACCCGTCAAGGCAAATCCTATGGCACGTCTTCAGTCCATCATCAAGACCACTGGAGCAAAGGTGGTGGTCACAATGTCTGAATTCGCCTCTCGGTTGCAGGGAGTCGTTGATCACGTCGTGAGCATGGAAAAAGTAGCAATTTCAAAGTCAAAATTGCCTTCAAGATCAAGCAAACAATATCCAAGCACACACAACGCATCCTTCATCATGTTTACCTCGGGCTCTACGGGAAATCCCAAGGGGGTTGTCCTTGAACATGGCTCAATGTCAATAGCCATTCAATCCATGGTGAGGAGGTTTGGGGTCAATAAAGATACGCGCGGATTTCAATTTGCTTCCTTGACCTTTGACATGTCCCTCCACGACATTCTGACTCCTCTTGCAGGCGGTGGATGCGTCTGTCTGCCGTCCGAATGGGAAAGAGTCAACGACTTGGCCAATGCTATTCGCCGACTTGGGGCCAACTACGCCATGTTGACTCCAAGAGTCCTGCACACTATCAAGCCTTCAGAATGTCCTGGCATGCGTACCCTGATGATTGGCGGCGAGCGATGTGACATTGAACAGTTGAAGCTGTGGACTCCCCAAGCTATGGTATATCATGTATATGGCCCTTCCGAATGCTCCATGATATCCACGGCTGCTGTTTTCAATGGGATCGAGACCTTGCACCTTGGCCGCGCTATTGTTGGTGCCGTTTGGGTCACAAACAAGGACAATTGCAACCAACTGTGTCCTCTCGGTACCGTTGGAGAATTACTGGTTGAAGGACCGCTAGTTGCTCGAGGGTATTTCAAGGATGAAGCCAAGACATCTGCCTCTTTCATTGACAGCCCACCTTGGCGAACACAGCATGGACTGGTTCCCAACAGTCAGCAGCAACGCATGTACCGAACTGGTGATTTGGTTATCCAGCACGAGGACGGCTCCCTTGTCTTTGTCGGTAGAGCAGATCAACAGTTGAAAATACGAGGGCAGAGAGTCGATGTGGGAGATATTGAGCACTATATCGCTTTGCAACCAGAAGTTGAAGATGGCGTCGTTCTCTACCCCCAACAGGGACCATGCGAATCGCGACTTATCGGACTAGTGACTCTCCATGAGTACATGTCTGCTACCGGTTCGACACAAATACAGCCTTCCTCCTCAGATCGCCTGCCGGAAGCCATTGCACTGACCGAAAAGCTCCGTTCAAGATTGGCCAATGTCTTGCCAGACTACATGATTCCCAATGTTTGGATCTCAATGGCATCCCTGCCACAGAGTGCCCATCACAAGGTCGACCGTCGAAAGCTGATGGACTGGGTACAGTCTCTGGATGCAGACTATTTCAGATGTATAACTGCCGGTAAAGAGGAAGCGCCTCAAAAACCAGCGACCAAAATCGAGGAGCAGATACAAAGCGTCTTGGCTGACATTCTTGGACTACCGTTGGAAGACGTCTCAATGGGTCGCTCGTTTCTGAGCATGGGCGGCGACTCGATCACGTCCATGCAAGTCGTATCTCAATGCCGGTCGCGGTACGGAATCTTGATCCATGTCCGCGACATTCTGCAGAGCAATTCAATCACTCAACTTGCTCTAAGAGCCGTTACAGATGCCGCCATTGCGCCATTGGCGAGCGCTTCCGGTGGTGAATTTCGACTTTCACCCATTCAGCGACTATTTTTCAGATCCTTTGCACCTCGCGGCTTGGACTGCAAAGACGAGAACAGGTTCAACCAAAGCGTCTGTCTCGTTGTCAATAAACACGTTGATGCTGATGAGATCGAGCGCGCGGCTCGAGGCGTGGTTTCGGCTCACCCCATGCTACGCGCCAGGTTCGTCAAGTCTGGAAAGCGATGGAAACAGAGAATCGAGAATGATGTTGACGCATCATGTAATGTTATCTTTCACCAAGTCGGAACTCGTGCAGACCTTGAGAGTGTTATTTGGGCTGGACAGCGCAGTTTGAGTGTTGAGCAAGGTCCAGTATTCTCAGTACACTGTATAGAGAATACCGCTACTTGCAGCCAGCTTCTGCTCCTGGTGGCGCATCACTTGGTGGTTGACATTGTCTCGTGGCAAATCATCCTTCGCGACCTGGATAATTTGATTCAGCATCCCGAGCTTAGTGTCCCTGTCGAGTCGACAACTTTTCAGCACTGGTTGCAACTCCAAGCCAGTCGAGCTCAGGATATTGGCTCACCTCGTCAAGTTCTCCCCGTTCAAACGTCAATGGCAGATTGGAGCTACTGGGGCGTGACCCCCGAGAGAAATACCTATGCGGACCGCTTGAACGAGCACTTTACGCTCAAAGATTGCGCATCCGTCTTGTTCGGCGAGAACCAACCGTTGAGAAGCGAGCCTGTCGAAGTGCTTCTAGCAGCTTTGTTCTATTCGTTTCACCAAGTTTTCCCAGATCGCCCTGTCCCAACAGTCTTCAACGAAGGTCACGGACGCGAGCCATGGAGCGACGCAATTGACCTTTCCAACACTGTGGGTTGGTTCACAACAATGACTCCTATCCACGTACCGGTCGGCACCAGTGATATCGTTGAAGTATTGAAAAAGACCAAAGACTTGCGAAGAAGCATTCCTGGGCGCGGCTTTGCCTATTTCACGTCAAGATTCTTGACCCGCGATGGACAGCATGCATTTGCCTCACACGACCAACCAGAGGTCATGTTCAATTTCGGAGGACGGTATCGAGACGATACGCACTCGCGGAGTTTACTGCGCATGAGCAACGATTTTAACGACCCTCACATCTCAGGGATAGGCAACAATGTCAAGCGAATTGCCGTGTTTGAGGTTGAAGCGTCGGTACAACAGGACAACTTGGTTCTTACATTGGGCTTCAACAAGAATATGCATGACCCCAAGCGTGTCACTCGCTGGATCCAGGCTTATCATGAAAGTCTTCGAGACCTGCTTCACCAGTTGTCCGTCTTGCCAGCTATGCTCAGCTTGGCTGACGTTCCATTGCTCAACACCACGTATGACGACTTGCACCGGCTGGAAAGCGAGCGTCTTCCTCTCGTCGGCATTGAAAGCATGGACTGCATTGAGGATATCTATCCTTGCTCGCCTGCCCAAGAGAGTATCCTGAGGAGCCAGGCTAGGGATTCATCTATGTTCCATGTGCAGTCCATGTGCGAATTCCGGGCGCGTGAGGCCGCTGCCGTGGACCCTGAAGCTCTGATACGCGCGTGGCAAACGGTTGTATCTCGACATGCAATCTTGAGGACAGTGTGTGTATCGCCAACGCTAGATGGAGATGCTTTCTGCCAAGTCGTTTTGAAACAATACGTACCAGAAGTTTCTGCAGTTCGCTGCGAGACGGCCGAGGACGTAGACTGCGCATTCAATTACGACGGCCGATTCGGGTATCCAAAAGGGAAGCCGGAACATCAGTTGACTCTATGTTTAGTTTCTACTGGCCAAGTATTTTTCCAACTCTCCATCAACCATTCGCTTGTGGACATTTCATCTCTGAACCTCATCATGAATGAGGTTGCACTGGCTTATGAAGACGGTGTTTCGGACATGCCTGCTCCATCGTTCAGCAAGTATATTGCGTTTTTGCAAGAAATTTCGATTGCCGAATCTACAAAATATTGGACAACTCGACTTGCTGAAGCAGAGCCTCGCTGCCTGCCGAGATCCTCGGCCACAGAAAGCCAGTCACTCGATAATGCGCACGTCGAAATGGGCAACTTGGAGACTCTTTACCGTTTCCGCGATACATATGGCGTCACGATTGCCAATATTCTACAGCTGGCGTGGGCGCTTGTTCTTGCGAAGCACTCGGGATCCAACGATGTTCTCTTTGGCTACGTGGCCAACGGGAGAGATGCTCCCATCGATGGCGTGTCTCAAATGGCCGGGCCTCTGATCAACATGATGGTCTCGCGCATCTGCTTCCGCGGCAAGCAACTCAGCGTCGCAGACACAGCAAAACAGGTGCAGAATGACTTTATGGAAGCGTTCAAGTATCAGCGAGCATCACTCACAGACATTCAGCATGCTACCGGGCTGTCGGAGAGGCAGATGCTTCACACGGTAGTCTCGATTGTGCGTGAGTCGGGCGGCCGTCGCAACAACAACGTTGGTGTTTCTGTGCACGGTCAGTCCGCAACCAGTTTGGCCGATTACGATGTGAGCTTGAATGCGGTTTGTGGAGAGCGCACAATCAAATTGTCTCTCCAGTATTCTCCACGATATCCGGGCAGCCTATCTGCAAAGTTTCTACTGGACAATCTGCAGCAAACAGTCTTTGATCTGGTTGCGAATGGTGAAGCTTGTATTGAAGAGCTGCAGAGAGCTTGAGCTCATGAAGTAACTGCATTGTTTTATGATGACGACTTCTTTTTCTGAGCATGGTCTGCCAATTTACTGAGATGGGCGTTGATGGTGTCGCGGGATGTACAATATCTGGCCTAGAAAGTTGAAAATGGTTTCAGTCTTCTAGTATATATTTGTTTAATTTTCAATACACGTTTTGGCACAAGAGTAACAGGCAAAGTAATGGCTCGCTCTAGTCCAGGCTATGTGAATGATTATGTGAATGATTCCAAAAATAAGCAGCAAGCGAGAAGAGGCGCATAGGCAGGACCGACTACCTACGGCTCATGAAGATGAAATGTTGCATCATACTTGTGCATTTCCTGGAGCTCTAGGGAAGTTTATGTATATTCTAATGGGTGGTCACTCTAACAACAACATAGCCTCATCCTTAGACAGCCTGCAACTTGAATGGATAAGATACGTGACCAGTGACGACGCCCACAGTGTTCTTGATAGCCACTGAATGGAAGCTGTCCAGAGCACTGCGCATTTCCGCTGCGCCAATATCAAGCCGGGCCAAGATTTCGGCGACTGCGCTGTATAGTATGTCCATGTTGCCATCCTCAATCTTTGCCGCAATCCCCACAGATCCAACCGCACCAAGGCGCCGCGTCTCCTCGCATGCGCGGATACCGACGCCGTAGCAGGCATCCGCGCCGACTTTGCCAATGACCCGGCCCCCAAACGCCCGCAAGAGCTCGGTGCAGAAGCGCCCCTCGCCGGCAACCATTTCGGGGTACGTCGACATGGCGTTGAAGACCCGGGCCATGTTGCGCTGCCGCGGCGTCGTCGTCGTCGTCGTCGTCGTCGTCGTCGTCGTCGCGTCCAGGTCGCCGTCCCGCGCCACCGCATCCGCCGCCTCGGCAAACGCGGCGTTTGTCCTGGCCAGGTAGATGAGAGGGTAAGCCGGTGCGGGCATGTTGCAGCCGTCAATGGCCCATCGGACCTGATCCGGAGGCAGCCGCGCAATCTCCTCCGTGACCCGCTTCACGCGCTGCTGGAGAGGGTGGGAGAGGACATGGTAATGATCCGGTTCCGTGTCGATAGCCCGAGCAGCGGCCAGCATGCCTGCGTGCTTCCCGGAGCAGTTGCTCCACACGGGTGTTGGCTCAAAGCCGGCCCGTATCCATGCCTTGTTCCTCTCCGGCATGAGGGCGGGGTGGCCACCACAGCGTAAGCTCTCTTCAGAGTTTCCTGCCTTTGCCAGAATGCTCCTGGCCCGCTCGGCATGCCGGTCCTCACTACTGTGAGAGGCGCACATGAGGGCGAGATCAGCTTCGTCTAGGCCATACTTTTCGAGAGCTCCGGTCTCGACAATGGCCACCGACTGCGCGGGTTTGGCTGCCGAGCGGATCAGCGTCACCCGATTCGGGTCGCCGACAACGAATAAGGTCTTTCCTGTAGAGTCGACGACTACGGCGTGAAGCTCATGTCGATTCTCAATCACGCCATTTCTGTCAATCACAACGCAGCCGTCGTCGCGAGTGGTCTTGGTCATGCTATGATGGACTTGGGTGCGCAAACAGTCTGATCCAACGGGCCTGATTGAGTGCCTACGAACCAGAAACCGAATCTAGTTTAAAAAAGGGCCTCGTTGATTTGTTGGTGAAGGAAAATCTCGGGAGAAACGACTACACCAAATTACTCTTTCTTATCTAGTAACTGGTGGTAGGCTTACAGTTACCCCACAGCTCTCTCTCTACTAGTGTCAGAAACCCCATAGGCAAACTTGTAGTTCTTGTGTACGCCCTACGCTTGACATGATGAGGATGCTAGTTGGCAATCGCAATCTAATATTTGAAGAACAATAAAAACAGAATCAACGGCAGCTAACTGCCTCACATAACGTGACAAGACCACCTCACGTGAGGTCTGTTTTAGCTATGACGGTGGAAGCAACAGTCACCGTGGAGCTGCCGAAATCGCGACGTGCTTTAGCTTTAATTTTGCCAGATGATTTTCATGTTCCTATGTGATATTTTCAAAGAAAAAAAATTGAATTCAATCCAGTTGTATATGGCCAGAAGAGAAATACCAACTCTAGAAGATGTCCAAAATGTAACTTTACTCCCATATTAACTAGAGCGCATTCTTTGTCAAAACCGAGTTTGGACAAAAGTCGAGTTCTAGAGTTCTATCAAGGACGAACAGTTCCATCGCCAAACATTCCTCCCTTTGCGCGTTTTGATAGCGTTTGACCGGAAAGAAACCCCAACAGAAAACCGCTTCCGGTCGGCCGAGCTTAAACTACATTCGAGAACTCCATACAACGACCGAAGCCTTCCTTCACTTCAAGCTCTCCATCGCACAGAAACGTATAAGTGCGTTTCGTAAGACACTTAAAGGTCGACGTCGCGCCGGTCAAGTGACAGGGGGTATAGATGTGTTGATGTTCACGATATGCATTTCCGCCTTAGCAGACAATTGCCACAAGGATTTGCCCATCGAGCTGGTGAAAAGTGGCAAGGAGCGTCTGGTGTCTTGCATGACTCTTCCCAGGGAAAGGTTTAATTGAATACGTCACCAGAGCTAGGAAAAGACAACCAAAATATGATGAGAGAAAGCCCAAAAGGGATCTGCGCTTTCAGATGGGTTTTGTGTGTTTCTCAGTCTATATAGATGCAAGGCAACTCGGTCAATGTTTCTTCCAATATTGGCTCCATCTAGACAAAATCAACTCTTGGTCTATAAGAGTATGAAAGAAGGAAAAATTGCGTAGGCTAGTATCTAACCCTGGCGATTCCGCCCCTTGAGCATTGTGGCTTCCTATCTGACGTGGTTAATGCGGTAACCTGGGAGGTGATATCCTGGAATGGCCACTTCTCTCGGTCGCCAGAGAGACCGCCATCAGACCCAGGCCTATTATCCCCAAAATACTCAATGATTGCGTAGATTTTCTCTTCCACCTGCAAAGCTATCGTAATAGTTCCATTCACGTCATTGCTCTTTATGGGTTCTGTTGGTTCGAGTATCTCAGCCTTTTCCCATTTTTCATCCGCTGGTGCAACCGTTTTGAGTCCGTCCTCGGTAGCCACCAAGAGATACTCATTCGAGCCAATATTTACCAAAGCAGCGCCATCTAGGCCCTTGTTGAGCTTCTTGCTGCCTGTGTCAACGACAGTCGGGTTGCCCTTTTCATCGCGGCTATCGAAGCGAAGCACTTCGCCACCGTTTTGCTCGTTGGTCACGAGCAAAATATCACCCTTGGATACTATGCCAGTGTAGCCTGTCTGGGTAGACTTGGTAGAATTGCTCGAATTCCAAAGAGAGGCCGTCTTGCCGTCGGGGGTGATCTTGATGATATGGCCTGGGTAAGTGCCCACGACGAAGGTGTTGCCGCTAGTATCAACGGCGAAGTCCTGGGTGCCTCCGAATTTTCCATTTGCCGGAGTGGTAACGTCAACCCGCCATACCTCCTTGTGATTTTGCAAGTCATACTTGATAGCGTAGTTGATGCCATTGATGTTCTCGCCAAAGCTCTCAAACGCAGCACCAGTGTTGATGGAAGTCCACAAGAACTCGCCCTCGACGAGCACACCGCTTGCATGATAGACTGGATCTCTCGTAAGTCCTTCAAAGTCGATGGTGCCCGCAATGTCCTTCTTTTCCTTGTCGACTATGGCAACATTGGATTCGTAAAGTTGACTAGATGAATTGAACTAGATTAGTTTCTAGCAGACTTAAAGAGTAGAGCGCTCTCGTGTCCTAGTCATACCTGCAGAGCAGCGGATTCTTCACCGTACGCTGCTCCTTGCCCGGCACTGTAAGTTCACCCGAATAGACTACACATTTCTCGGGATAGAGCTTCAGGCCATTGATGATCAAATCTTGTCCGGTGGCCTCGACCGGCTTCGCTTGGGGGGCGGCAGCTCCCAGACTTGCTGCTGAGAGCAGGAGGACAGCTGAGCCAATCATTGTGGTATGATAGAAAAGAGTGAGAGCAGTAGTATGAAAGGAAAGATAGGCAACAGTGCTGATATGGTTGATACTGTTAGAAAAATCTCAAGACCAGAAGCAGGGCTTATTGGCAACATATATATATTCATTTAGCGGCACTCTTTCGCATGAGCATAAGTCTAGACCTGAAACAAACACAATAAGCGCATGTCAGGCTTGCGTGAGTCGTGCTAATTAATCATGCTACCAAGCCTCATTATTCGTGGTACTGCCCCACCTCGACTTTGGGCCCACACCTTAACTTGCCACGCCCCATTATATAATTCCACATATATTGGCCTGGCAATACAGTAAACCAGGTCTATAACGATAACCTTCGTGAGCAGGGTTGCTAGAAATTAAGGAAGTTATCCCTCAGACGCAGCCGGAAGAGCTGCAGCTTCAATAGATAACCCCTTGCAAGCCCGAGCGCAGCGGAACAATTGACGGCCCGGAAAGTATACACTTCATTCAAAAACACTAGAAATCGCGTTTTTAAGCGATTTGGGCGAGCCCGACCTTGCCCGGACTCGTGTTGTTAAAAATTGATAGATTTCAATTGAACACCAATTAATTTTTTTTAAGAGCAAGCGCGACCATACGGGTGTATGAAAAAATATATGTGGGTGGTGTGGCCAGCTGACCACTAACGTCGGCCACCCACTTCTCGGCACTACCCACTTCTCGGCAGGGTAATCCTAGCCACCTCTTAATCTACCTAACGTTATTTAACGCGTAATTTCTCGCGTAATTCCTCTTCCTTAATTATAATTTTTTTCCTATATATATATTATACCTAAATATATAAAATCTAACCTTTAAAATATAATTTAAGACATTATAATAGGCTATAGCTAATCTTATATAGTATAATACTAAAATATACTATAGTTAACTATATAAGACTATTTAAAGGGTAAAATATTATAAAAAAAGGCTTTTAAGATAATATAAAAGCTTTTTATAACTTAAAAATTATATCTAATTTCTTAGATATTAATTTAAGATATAATAGATAACCCTCCTATATATAAGTAAGTTAAGAAGATTATATTAATATTAGCTAAATATAATAGCTATTAATAACTAATTAAGAAAAATTAGTTATAAGGCTTTTTATATTAAAACCTAGAAGTTAAGACCTTAAGAGGTAAGAGGCTTAATTTCTAATAGATAAATAGTATTTTAACTTATATTATCTAAGATTTCTTTAAACTTCTAATAATCTAAGCTCTTTAAAA